ACTTCACCGCTTTACAACGTGTCTTTCACCCCGAAGATGGTGAGATAATGAATGATCAAGATATTTTGATGTTTCTGGAGAATGGATTTTCACAAAGCCAGGAAAATTTCAGCTGGAAAGCTCACCATGAAAGCCATATTTGGACAAGTCGTTAATGAGTTATGAAGGATTACAAAAACGATTAAAATGCATTACCCTTGATTAAAATAGATTAAAGCCTGATATTCATTGGAATTTTATAGTGAATATACAATTTTGAGGGGTAAGAAATCCTCCTGCTTAGGCCTTCCACCGGAATCACGATAAATCCCTCAAGATTTCAACCAGCAAAATGATTAAAACCGATTAAAATCGATTAAAGCTCAATATTTCCGAAACTAGTCATCCGATCTTAACGAAAAAACATTCACTTTAAAGGGAAAAAATTCATAATCAATCCCTGAATAATTCCAAATTGTCTGAAAAATTGGCTAATGCCAGAATTGCTAAATTCGAGACAGAATCACTATCAGGTCGAATCAATGAGGAATCTCTCACCCTTTCAACTGCCACGTAAAACATTCATATCCATCGATTAACCCCCGAGACATGTAGATTCCCGACGAAAAGGTACCGAATTCAATGAAATATTGGCACAGAAACTTAACGCTCGCCTATGCGTCATTCACCCAGGTCAGTCGGACATCCAAAAGCAGTCTATGGCCCAGGTAAAACTTGACGGAATGCGAACCACACAAACTTTCTAGGCCCAGTTGACCTTGGATCATCACTCGAAAGTTCCGAGAGGTCAGTACTTCACAAATATTCGCAAAAGAATCAAATAAATAACCAAAAAAAAAATTCCAGTTATCTTCGAACAATACTTGACCTCGCAATACTGATCCGGACGGTACCTCAATTTAACCTGGAATTTATCGTGAAATCACTCGGCATGGACAACGAAATTTCACGAGGAAAATCAATCATTGAATAAGTGCAATGTAAATATCAATATTTTTGTTCTCCTTTTGTCGATTCTTGGGTTGAAATCAATGCGTCATGGATTTCCAGTGAAAAATTTTCACGGTGACAACAATTGAAGATAGAGTATTAATCTATCAACTAAGCATCATTCCATTTTCCCTTTTACCGTACCAGTTATGGCTCGAGGCCTTGGATTGAGTTTGATTCCAGTTGTCTGGAGGGAAAGAGTGAGAACCTTGTCTAGTCCAGTCTGAGTTTGGAGGAGTCTCTAGTTATCCTCGGTTCCATTACAATTTTTTCCCTATCTTTATTGCATCGAAAAATTCATGGGATATGCTCTTAGAAGAAAATTGAAATTTTATAAATAATTGACTATTTTTAACCTTTCTCAAATTATCGAAGAAAATTATCAAGAAACATCCCACTTTCACCAAGGAAATTTAAAATATATCAAATTAAAAAAAAAATTATATTAAATTTTATGATTCAGTTTAATAAAAAATTTCATATTCTTTGATTAATTTTTCGTGGCGGTAATGATATTTTTTTTAAGAATGAAAAATGGAATATTTTTTGATATTGTGACCACCGGCGAAATCGAGGAATATATGGAGTCCTCTGTGGTCCGACATTTCTCATTTTACAACGAAAAGAAATCACAATGGATAAATAAGAAAAGAGTGAATGACTTGTCTCCTTTTGTCTTCGTACAATTTCCGAACCACATCCTGCCGTTTTCTTCAGGGGGTAGACCTTTTTTTTATCCCACCTGACACACACCTGGCGACCGGGAGACACCGAGCACGAGACCACCTATCCCCACCCTCTCAGGTGCCTGACACCTTCCACAGGACATCTGGATCTTGATGCATCAAACTCAATTTTTTAAAAATCCCGACTGACGAAAAATCGGTATAAAATTCGAATAAATCCACGTTTTGGGTACCAATTGGAAGTACTGTAACCATTGCAATTTAATATTTGTATTTTTCCTGTTACGATTTCTATTGCAATTGAATCTTCTTCGTTGGCGTCTAGGTATGTATGTACTAAATTCATCGGTACAAAAAATATAAATCGAAGATTTAAAAAAAAACGCATTTTTCTAAAAAATCAAATTTTTCTAAAAAATCGAATTTTTCTAAAAAATCGAATTTTTCTAAAAAATCGAATTTTTTTGAAAAATCGAATTTTTTTTTTAACTGATTTTTTTTTTTAATTGGATGGAATTCGAATCTGGAATCTTGGATCGATGGATCATTTTATGAAAATCAACGGAGCAATGGTATTAAACTAAAAAGTTGAATTTTTTTGAACCGTTGAATTTCTGAAATCGTCTGGAATTTCGATGTTCTCTTGTGCCCCGAGGGTGAAAAAAGGGAGAAATTTTTGGTGGTTGAAAAAACGTAGGAGGATCAGTGCAACCAGTGGACAAAAGAAAATTTTGCTACCTGCGCAATCGCCAGGTGTTCTTCTCACTGAATATATTGTCATCCTTATTCATCACATGCACCTACCACTGCCCTCTCACATCCACCACAAAACGACAGACTATATTGCCCAGGTGAGTTCATCGCCTGCAGGCATATATACCAACTCTCCTGACTCGATTTTTTAACGATTCCGATCGTCTCTAAACCTCTTGCTAATATTTTTTTTACCATTTTTTTAACCAATTTTTTATTCACCACCGATTTATCGTCCGGCGTTGCGATGTGACTCAGGGGTAGCTCAGTAACAAAATGGCGGGGTTGTAAATTAATTGTAAATTATTATCTGTTCAAGACAAAATCGGAATTTTGAAATTAATAATTCCTCGGGAAAAGCACTGGGGAAAAATGACCGTCTAGAGACTACTGGTTTGGAATGGAAATTTTGTCAGTCCGTCGAATGGGGTCATTATCGCCCCCGGCTTGTTGAAATTTAAATTTCGTTTAGTTGAGGAAGTCGACTTTAGTGTGAGGAACCGCAGGATGAATCGTAGAGCAAATGTCAAAGACAAAGGAATGGAGTGTCCCGAGATAAAAAAAGATTAACTGGGCATTGTGAAGTAGATAAGAAAGTTGAAACGACTGGAGTTGATAAAGAAAAAAACGAGGTGATCTTTTGATTGAAGTTTTTTGCTTTGGAAAGTTGGACGGAAGTAATGTGACGAATATTGGTGGGTGGAGTGGTTTAAGAAATTTTCAAACGATGATGAGACCAGAATTGATGATATTCAGTTGGAAAATCGGTGATTAAGGATGATTGATGGGGTGGTAAACTAAGACTTGGGAAATATGGATTTTCGATGGTTGCTGCGGATAGCCAGGAAAATTTCAGCTGGAAAACACTATATGATGACTAGATTTGACCGAACTGTTCGCGAGTTATGAGAAAGGGCTGGACATCATTAAAATTGATTAACGCCTTAATTCACGAGTTCTAACCATGGGATTTTAATCATAAGTACGACCTTCAGGTGATCAGGGCATCCCTTCGCTAATATTATCCGCACAAATGTAAACTACCGCCGCGATTTTTTCGGAAAAATGATTAAAATCGATTAAAATCGATTAAACATCCGTATCTCAGCTATTTCTCATTCAATTTCAACGTGCAAAAAACCAGTTTCAAGGGCATACAACCCCCTACAACATGATCTCTAATTCCTCCCCCGCCCTTCGTCCCACCCCTCAAAATTCGAATCTAAAAATTCCCCAAAACGAGAAAAACGTCCAGAAATTCATCTCCGTCTCATCTTTCGCTTTCTTCCAAGCGGACGTCGATTTGTCTCGCCTAAACTACCAACGCTTTCACCAGAAATGCCGTCTTCCGGAACGTTCACCGTTTCGAACACTAAAATAAGTATCCCAAAAAAAGAAAATAACAACAAATGCCGGAGTTTCAGATATGTTTCCCACATGATCAATTTATCTTTTTCTCTCCCATTCGCCTCCCCCATTTGACCATTGCCGTCTGTGTGGGCCTCATGGGATTTTTCATTGGTTCAGTTCGTGGCGTGCCAGCTGCTGGGGCAGGTGACGGCGCAGCTGTCGTTCACGCGGGCTTTCCACCCTCTCAACAATTCGAGGCTCAACCCCAGTGCCACTGTCCAATCCACCCTCCGATCTTCCATCCCAGAAATTTCTCGATCCAACAGATCCACGGGGCAAAATGGACCGCTCAGTGAAAAATATTCACTATTTCATGGGCTGACCAGTGATGAATTAAAATCAATCGCATAAAGTGATGTTTTGGACCGGTTTCCAACCGGTTCGCAATAAATTGTCGTTCCCACTATTCTTTTTTTTTCCATCAAAAATTCAAATAGTAGGTTTCAAGGAAGAATATCGATTTCGCAGATCATAGATTTTTCTTCCTCGTGTATGGGTGAGGGTTGGCCAGAGGCACGTTTGGCCCCCCCTCAGAACCGAATCTGTTCACTCTCCCCTCCACTGTTCTGTTGGAACAGGGGGGGAGGGGAACTTTACCGTCTGGTCGAGTGAATGCCCTGTCGATTCATATATCTATCCATTGGCCTTTGTTGTCTACCAAGAATCAACTCTTTTCTCCATCGACAAAAATTTTTTCGCCCTCCCCCCGAGGAACAATAAAAATCCCTGACAATGCACCCAGGAGTACTGGAATTGGCCGAATGTTTCAGTAATCGGTGGAAAATTTGGGGGTTTAATTGCTGAACATTACGAGTTCTTGTGATTTTTTTTCTGAGAATTGTATACCTGGGGGAGGTCGGGATCAGGTAAGACCCCCCCGTGGTTAAGTATTCGGAGTTCTGGCGATGTGAATAATTTGAGTAAAAATGGCAAACGATTTTTCTACATTTTCTAAATTTTAAAAACCTTTCTGAATCTTTACTGATCTTCTATGATTCCAACGATCACAGATTGTATCGCTTTTTACTCGAGATATTTAATGATTTCTCAGCAAGAACGAGAACGTCCAATGACAAATTCCCCGGCAACTTAATAAAATCTCGAAAAAATTTGGAAAACATTTGCAGCATCGTATACTATTTCATTGAGGGTAAAACTCACCAGACAACCCCGAAGGCCCCATACCCAATGGGCCTGTCCGGCTGAACAGGATCCTGAATGGGTGGTGGTGGTGGTGGTGCTGGTGCAGCCGGATGATAATAATTCTGTGGTGTTTGGGCTGCAGCAGCAGCGGCAGCAGCAGCAGCAGCAGCTAGTACAGCGGGGCCCGGATGGGTCCCAGTTGATCCCCCGCCAGTTGTACCGGCTCCACCCCCCTGCATAAGCGACATGGACACACTCATGGACACCCGGGAGTGCCGGCTAGGCCCCACTACTGCCATCAATGGTTTATTACCCCTTAGAGCCCCCTTGCCCCTCGATAAAACGTCGAAATAATGGACCAAACCCTCAATCTCAAAGAACAACTCTAGGTAACACTTAATATCCCAAGGATAAGGCCCAAAAATCAACAATTATCCCAAATCTTCACTTTTTTCACTGTCCGGTGTGAGGCCACATCGAACTTCAAAAATCAAGAACTCAAAAAAAAATTCCACTGACGCTGAATGTTCTCGGCCAAAAAATCAAATGATCAGGCCCAAAAATCAATAATTCTCTCCAATTTTTCACTTCTTCCACTGTTCAACACACAATATTAGCACTACCCCAACTGTACAGAACCCAAATAAATGACGTTAAACGATAAAAACACTAGAAAACGTAGAAATAAACTAGATCGCTGATCTAGGGAATTGAATTTGAAAAATTGGTTTTTCAGGGGTGGAAGGGTGTTTTTTTTTTTTATTTCTTCACTCACTTCGGAGTGTTCTAGAGGTTAGGTCAACTCTGCGAACAATAGGGTGACATTTTACGACACAGCCACGACACAGTCTAGGTACTTCTCAATCACCTTCAATCTCTAGATTACAAAAGAGATGACGAATTTTGGGCCTCACTGAAGAAGGCCAGTACCCTCTCAGTGATTAGGTGGACGCTAAGTGACACTCAGGGAATATTTCAATGGTATTCCCTCTAATGCACGTTATTACTGTACTTTATTTAATGACACACACTGAATTATTACTTTTCGATTCTTTGTCACCAAATCACAGATTTTTTTTTTCTCTACTCGCTGTCTTTGTCTTGGATAGTCTGTCTCTCTCGCTTTTGTCAGTGATAGACGGGTGGGGGGGAGTTTATCGCGGTTATGGGGGTGCACAAACGCGTGGGACTTTTTTTTTTCAGGAGGGCCGCTCGGGGGGTGTGGGTGGATCAGACGCGTGTCGAGAGGTGGGATTATTTTTTTGATATTTTCTTTTTGTGGAGGAAAAAAAAAATACGTTAACGGGGTTAACGCCGCACAGCGTCTGCACACACTCGAGGCTCAATGGCCACTGCTCGGTGACGGGCGATGCAGTGGTTTCTCGGCGCAGCGGGAGGGGGCAATGCGCTTGCGCAGATATCAACACGCCGCGCCATTTTCCGGCGGGAGACTTTCAACGGGCAAACGAAGAAAGACCACTACGAGTTAATGTTCTCATTATTTTAATATATAATTGAAAAACAACATTAAATACAAGAATAAAAATATGGAAAAGTTATGACAAATAAAAAAAATTTGTTCAGAATGAAAAATCATTTTTCTGGGTGGAAAAAAAATGTTTTTTTTCGTGACCTGAAGTAAATAATTCCCTTTCCCCTATCTGTCTGTTGAAAATGTAGGAGTCTGACTTGTGAGCGATGAGTATATGATTTTCAATCGGTTAAAATGATAAACAACAGTTCATTGTTTATTTCCACCACTACCTCCACCCCTTCCACCAGAGACTCGCGCATCAGACAACAATGGCGGCTATAGTTTACTGTCAAATGAAGAATGTAGACAAGAGTTTTTAGTTGTGGACAACAAAATTAACGCTCACGTGATTGAAACAAAATGGCAACTCAATTGACAGTTGTCGGTTGATTTTTTGACAATTTGTCGATAATTGTTCAGTGCTGTGGGGAGATTTTTTTCAATTGTTTATAGAAGGGGAGGAAAATTGGAGGCATGAGACCGTGATCTAGTCTGGATCACCTGACTTTGTTGTTGTGGACTCAGTAAGAATTTCTCTTATTTTTCTCACAGGGAAAATCACTTTTGGATTTGATTTTTGCAGAGAGAATTGGAGGGAAAATTAACAGAGAGAGACAACTTTTTTTTTCATGAGAACGTCCTTTTGTTAATTTAGAAAAAAAAAAATGTTTCGAGCCGAGGAGTCGCCGAAGGGTTCGTTCCTTCAGCAGACGAAAGCAGCCCGAGAGGAACGAGCACACGAAAAACGCCGAGAGGCAGCAGTTGTTACAATTCAGGCATCAATCCGAGGCTGGCTGTCACGACGAAAATTTGCAAATAAAATTCTCCACGACTTGGACTCATTCTTCCCCGAGGACAGCACCCTGGACGCCTCCATCGAGCTCAAGCCAGTTCTCCAGGTGTTCAGGCACATCTCCAGGTTCCTGATTGTGTTCAAACGAGACAGGGATCAGGCCCGAATCGAGAGGCTGTGCAAGTACCTGACGAAATCTCTGGACTCAGAGTCACCCAAGTTCTCGTACGTCGGGGTCGCTCTCAATAAAGAACACTACATCGCCTGGATATCACAAATGAAGGCTGTCTTGTTTCACTGCATGATGGGACTTGATGAGCTGAAACCTGAGAGACCTGGGGATCACAGATCCATTCTTCTGAGGCTCCACACACTCGTCAGCTTCACATCTTCCGGCACTTGGGCCATACAAAGGGTCAAGGGCATGGAAAAACTCAAGACTGGCATGCAGCAGCTATGTGCCAATATCATGGGACATCTAGTCAATAATGGATTTTATACCGTCATGAAGGTGATTTTTTTTATTAACTTTTTAAATTTTCACTTTTTTTTAACCTTTTTTTAAATTTTTTTTCCTCTTTAAATATTAAAAAAAAATCAATTTTCATTCACAAATTGAAAAATTAAAAATATCAGCTTCCATTTCCAATAATTTGATGCCTGAATTCTGTGTTTATATTATATCGGTGTAAATTGAGGAAAAAAAAACAAAATTGTAGACAGGATTTTCGGAAAAAATTGTTTTTCGGATATTTAATTGTAATGAGATTATTTTATTTTTTTTCAGGTGTTATTGGTGAAAGGCTTGGGGAGAGAAAAGATTTCGCTGAAATCTGTTGCCCTCTCAGCTGCGGTCACCCTGACAATGAGACCTCTGATATCCTCTCAGATGTCTGACAAACTCATATCTTTATTTTTGATCAACATATTCAGTGTTCCTGCCTTGGTTTATCATCTGAATTTGCTGTCTCCTGAGGTGAGCAGAAATCATTAACACATCCATTCCCATCTCTCAAACCGACACGAACACCCGTCACAGTTCGCCCGAAAAATATTAAATTATAATTCGGGAATAATTTTTTTTTTAATGAATTGATAAAAAAAAATATATATTCCGATGCCGTGACCCGGATTCGAACCGGGGTAGCTACGGCCACAACGTAGAATCATAACCACTAGATCATCACGGCTGCGGAACCTTATAATTCCTTTCACCGTCTGTTTACACATAATTCGCGATTTAATTTACCATTCTAAAATACACAAACAACAAAAATCACGAAGTCCGATGATTTTCCGATGATTTATCGAGAAAAAAAAATCAGTCTAGCACATTGCCGTGACCCGGATTCGAACCGGGGTGGCTACGGCCACAACGTAGAATCCTAACCACTAGATCATCACGGCTATGGTAGACCTCTGAGATACGGATATTTCAGTTTCGCTCTCATGGTGAGAGTTCCAATTTCAATCGACGTTGAATAATGCGGTTTTTTATCAATTTTCAAAAAAATATTTCCATCAATTTTCCGAGCTATATTCTGATGATTTTTATCGGATTGCCATTTCACTGGGATTTTTGGAAAATTTTGATTTTGTGGAAAAATCAAGAGAACTTTGACTTTCCGCTTCGCTCTCCTTGAAAATAAATTTTCAATTTTAAAAAACAAGAAAATACGTTGACTTAATTAATTGATTAAATCAATTAATTTATTCTGGTCACAAAATTGAATTCGAACTTTCGACTTATGGGGTATAATTTCCTGATTTTGAGGACTACTTAATTATTGAAGTATTTTCTATTCCGTGGACCGGCATCGTTATCAGTCGGTATGGCTGATCCCTGATTTTCGGTATTTTATGATACACTGTGAGCTAGAGAGGAAGATAAAGAAGAAATGTCCTGTGCGATCCGGTTCTTCATTGATTATTCAGTTTGCGCGGGAAATTTAAATGGAATTCGTACTCGGACATAAACGGATATCCGATTACATAATATATTCACAAAATCCATAATTAACAGTCACAAAAAGTCTTACAACACAATTCCTGAAGACGTCCAACCTCTCCCAATCGCAACCGCTGAGATAAACTCACCAGGTCGGCTCGTTTCAGTGCATCACATGCTTCGCCACCCACAGCCTTTTTTCCCGGAGTCTTGAGATCCTCAATTCCGATCAGAACCTCAGAATAATCTTCAACGCCCTTGAAGGCAGCTACGCCCTGTGTCTCTTGGCGAATCTAATCCAACTCGCGTCGATAGATTCGGAGGACCTTTTGAAGGACCTCTACTTTCCTTCATTCACCTTCGTGGTGACGAAGATGTTGGAGTCGTGCCAGCAATACGTCGTCTCTAAGCAGAGCTGCTTGACCCATTGGCACCCAGTGCTCGGGTGCTTTGCCCAACCGGTAGACCCTCTCCTGTATTCGGCAGTTGGTCACACGAAGGTTCAGCTTGGTCTCCTCTGGAGCGGACAAATTGTCCAGCAGCTGATAGGCAAGAGCCTGACGGAGATCGTCGAGAAGGAGGTGATCATCACCGACAATAATCAGAGCACCTCCAATACTAATATCTTCAAGCGTGCGTTCTTCGAGAGCCGCGGCAACCGAAACAACTCGACGAAGAACTGGCGGAAGCTGGGCAGCCCAGAGACCACGAAGATCGCATTGATATGCTCACTCTACCAGACAGCTCTGCACACCCTGACGCAGATGAAGCTGGACATCCTGACGGGCCTGTGCTATCAGGACAAGATACTCTACCATCTCTGGCTATTCCTCAATACTCTCGGACCGAATTGCGGCCTCAAAGCATTCCTGGATCACCTCGCCGCCAACACCAAGTGTTCAGCCCCAGAATTCCAAATGCTCATTCTCTTCTGCGACTGCATGACACACTACGTGACGATTCTCGATGACATGGAAATGTACGAGCAGCAGGAGCCGTTTAAACTTCAGGACTTTGTGACGATGGGATTTTTCCTCAATCAATTTTTGTACAAAGGTGTTCTGGGCAATCTCTTCGATGTGAGAACTGTGGGAAGTAATCCGTTGTTCGTCAGTCTTCATACATTGCTGATGGCGATCTACAGAAGGGACTGCCGAAGGAACTTCTGTCCTGATGGTCACTGGCTTGCAAAAGAAGTTCGGGTATCGGGGTTCCTTGCTGACCTTGAGAAGGGCCGAAGAGGGGCAGCACTTCTCCTCTCGAAGATGCCCCACGTCATCCCACACTCGGAGCGCGTTGTCCTCTTCAGAAAGCACGTGGCCGACGAGAAAGCGGTTCTCGGTCTGACCGAATCCGCATGCAACAGCCCGCCTTCGACCCTCATAGCTGTCCATCGCTCTCGGATTGTTGAAGATGGCTACCGCCAGTTGGCGATGCTGCCGTCTCAGGCTCTTAAAGGCGTCATCAGAGTGAGATTCGTTAATGAGCAGGGTTTGGACGAGGCCGGTATCGACCAGGACGGCGTCTTCAAGGAGTTCCTTGAGGAGACCATCAAACGAGTCTTCGATCCTTCCTTAAACCTCTTCAAAGCCACAACTGAAAACCGTCTGTACCCATCACCCACATCATACATGCAGGAAAATCATCTCCAGCTGTTTGAATTCGTCGGTCGCATGTTGGGGAAGGCTGTCTACGAGGGTATCGTCGTGGACGTTCCCTTCGCGTCCTTCTTCGTCTCGCAGTTCTCAGGCCAGGCTGGGGGCGCACTTTACAGCTGGCTCGATGAACTCGCATCTCTAGATCGTGATCTGTACAGGAGTCTCACCCTTGTCAAGCACTATAAAGGGGATGTCAGTCAACTCGAGCTCACGTTTTCCCTTGATGAAGACGTTATGGGAGAGCTTGTGACTCATGAACTCAATCCCGGTGGCAAGGCCGAACCCGTCACCAATTTCAATAAGATCAATTACATTCATCATATGGCCCACTTCAGGATGCACAGGCAGATCAAGGACCAAACGGCGGCCTTCATCAAGGGGTTCAAGAGCATCATTAACCCGGAGTGGCTTTCTCTTTTCTCCACTCCTGAGGTAAGTATTTAAGTTGATTGCAGATCTCTATGTGTTCCTTGTAGATGGTAATTAGTGGTTTTGGTTATTGCGCAGCTTCAACGCTTGATCTCTGGTGATAATGTACCTCTCGACCTCAGGGACTTAAGAAAGCACACTCAGTACTATGGTGGCTTTCATGATAGCCATCGAGTTGTTTGTTGGTTGTGGGATATTCTTGAGAAGGACTTCAGCGAGGAAGAACGAGGTTTATTCCTCAAATTTGTAACTAGTTGCTCCAAGTCACCTCTGCTGGGCTTCGCACATCTCGAGCCGCCCTTTTCAATCAGGTGTGTCGAAGTCGGTGACGATGAAGACACCGGCGATACTATTGGTGAGTGCTTCATAACTTGATAAATTTCCATTTCTTTGCTACCTTGTTTGTTATTTCAGGGAGTGTTATTAGAGGATTTTTTACCATTCGCAAGAAAGATCCTCAGAATCGTTTGCCCACATCGTCAACCTGCTTCAATCTCCTCAAGCTACCGAATTACCAAAAAAAGAGTACATTGAGAGAAAAATTGAGATACGCTGTGACGAGCAACACCGGATTCGAGTTGTCCTAACAGAAGATTGGAAAATCGATGGGGAGACAGTTCTGGACCAAAGACAATCGATGGGAATCAAGGCAAAATTCTAACTCATCGCTTGATTTTCTAGTAAAACAAATTATCAATAATTTTCGCTAATGATGCACTGGATTAATTGAAAATTAAAAATTGAAGGCTACGAATCATGAATACTCATGTGCGGTGGAATGAAGAGATGATTATTTTATTAATCTGAGGAAATCGGATCGTCGGACTAGTCTCAATTGATCCAGTCGGAATTGATTGATTGGAAAATGTGCGATTTCAAATTTTAATCATAAATTCAATTACTTTCTGCCATTAGTGAAAAATAACAGAAAATTCACACCAGAGATGATAATCATCTCCAAGGAATTTCATCTCTTCGTTCTAACCTAGAAATGTAAATATAACCTAAAGATACTTAGTCACAATATAATTTGAATTTTGGATTTGAAAATTCATTTCACTTAGTGGCCATATTGATTTTTCCGTGCATGGAGTAATGAATCATTGAATTTGATATTTCTGTACATTAAAAATTGTTTAATATTTTTTTAACAAGCGATAACATGTAAATTATATACAAAATGTCACAAATATACATAATTTCATTAATTAAATCCCCTCATGACAAATGACAGTTTCCTATATAATACAGTTTCAGATTCACTAGGATCTCTCGATCCAGTCGCATTCTGCATCACATATTCAACCGCTGAAAAATGCGCAGTTGAGTTTAAATAAAAATATAATAATCTTCAATTATTTCGTAACTTCACTCAATAGCAGTCATAAATATTAAATATTTAAAAAATAGTCTAGCAAGGAGTTATACTGAATCGAGGGTGACAGTCGTTGAAAAGGATTTTTCTCCTTTGTCTCAAAAATGTCTTGGATTACGAGAATGACTCGATGATTTTACTCAGGCTAGTGTAGGTCCCTACAACGAGACCCAGCAGTCCGAAAAGTATGAGAGAAGTATTTTTAGCGAGCATTATGCAATTTTGCGTTGAGTCCTGAACACTCCAGAAAGCGCAGGTCTCGATGATGGCGGGGAAGGCTAGGCCAAGGGCGGATAGACATAGAGCACCAAAAAGGGAGATAAAGAGTTCGAGTCGTGGCACTGCCATTGCCAAGAAAACTGAAACAAAAGATGACAATTTTTTAACCTAATTTGGAATTCGTCGGATTTCCTTCTTGACATTTTACGTTTTGTCGTATAACTGGAGAACTACAACAGCCAAAAAATTTCAAAACCACTAGTTTTTGGTTAAAATTTCTCTACCTATCGAATGAGACTATCCACGATGCTCTAGCTCATCAGGATCGCGAGATAGAAGAATAAAAATGGCGGATTTTCTACTTACACGTGATCAGGACGAGTCCCGTCCTCACGATGTACTCCCACATGAGCTTTCTCTCTTTAATCCTCTTAGACAGGTAGACGTTCCATGAAATATCGATGGCAGGGTAACACTGTAGAGCGTGTGTCACGTAAATGGAAATCGCAAGGAGAATCTGCACGATTTTAGCGAGTACATCGTCATCCGGAAGATTCAAGGTTATACTGCCCTTGACTCCCGTGCCATACCGAACGTAACCGAAGAGTCCCATACCCACGTACAGAACGATAATCAAACTCATTCCACTGTTAAGAACTCCAAAGGGAGTCATGAATTTTTTGGGGTTATCCATCTCGTTCTCTAGAGGAATCATCTGCAGGGAGCAGCCAAAGTAATCGGTTATTTTCCATTTTCGTTTGTATTATCGCCGGGGATTAACTGGGAATTCATAATTTACTTACAACACCGATTGCCTCGAGAGCGAATAGAACTGTTCCGAAGAAAAGGGGGAAGTCCTGAACAGTTCCCACCGCGTGTTTACCCTCGAAGCTGATTGGATCACGAAAAATAAAGTACAGGATAATACCGAAGCTGGCGAGTGTGATACCATTGGCAGCCGTTGAAAATGGCGCCAACAATTTCAAATTTCTTATCCAGTTAATGAATATCAATGGAAGCAATGTTGCGAGCATGTAGTACTCGAGTTTTATTGGAGTCACATACGAATCAATAGCCTGAGGGTAGAAGACAGAATTATTTTCATTTCTCAATGAAAGGTAAGCGAATTAATTTAATATAATTAATAATATAAATGAACAATAGTTTTTCATTTTTATCGCAGAAGTGAAAAAAAATAGAAAGGTGTGATTAAAGGCGTTATACTCACACTCTTCAAATTCTCCGAAATGAACACAACGTAAACGCAACATGTGCCCAGCTGATAAACCAACAAAAAAATGTTAACAATGTGTCTGAAAGAAAGATAAAGAAACACTAATTATTCAGTAATTCTGGGGGAAAGAAGAATCTGGTGGAAAAAAAAGAAAAAAAAAAGATTCGATGAGCGAAATGATGAAAATAATAATCATTGGACTTACGGGACAGCTGGTGCTAGGGGCCTGAGGAACTTGGGCCCTTCTTCAATCGCTGCTTGGGCAGTCGCTTCATAAGTGAGCGACGGAACTCGCCGTCTCTTGCAGAGCTCATACTCCGATCTAATTAATAATCTAATACAGTATGTGCAGAGGAAACCGATAACGAGTGTCCCAATGATTCCTATCGCGTAACCAGCGTGTGAGAACGCCAGAGGCATCGCCAGAATTCCCGTCCCCAAACTTCCTTTCAGCAGATGAAATAAGGTATCCAGAGTCCTTGAATAATCAATAATTATCCATTTATTCAGTTGTCAATTCAATTCAATTATTGATACAAGCAAGAGAAAAAAAATCATTTTCATTTGTATTTGTTTTTTTCGGTTTATTTGCATAATCTTTTACGCTCTGTCGAATGGATAAATTGACTTCTCGATCGGTTACTTACGTCGTCGGGTGTGCAACCTCTCGGTGAGCGTATGGATCGTATTCAACCGCAAACTCTTTACTCGTTCTCGGCCAATTTTTAAGCTCCACTGTGAAGACATCGTTATTTGATTTCGCTGATTTTTCACTGGAAAAAAAAACAATAGGTTTGATTTTTCCTCTGAGTGGGAAATGGATTTTTCCGGATTCAGTATATATTGAAAATCCCCCAGAAAACTCGAGAGTAGCCCTCCTCTGTATCAATAAAAAATATATATATAATATAATATAATATACCATTTTAATAAAATAATGATTTTTCTAAAAAAAAATTTTTTTTCAATTGAATTTAATTATAGAAAAAAATATAAATTATGAGTAATTTTTTTAGATATCTGAGATTCTTTTGATATTTCGATTTTATATGTCAAATGATAATACCCCGTGTGGGAGGGGGAGCGGCAAAATTTTGAAAATTCAAAAAATGTAAAAAATTTGGAAAATTTGAAAATCAGGGAATCGTAGCGGAAGCTGATGGAGGTCGCGAATAATTGGCAAAATTTTATCTAAGGGGAGGTGTCACTCAGTAGTTTTCCTTCTAGAGTTTTTTATTTCTTCAGTTTATAATCCATAACTCTCACCTTTTTTCAGTACTCGTGGCAGTGTATCGACCGTCTTTCACTCCTACACTCTCCTATAACGAAAAAAAAAAATCATCAAATTAATCCCCAAAAAATCATTATCACTATTACCAACGACCAATTAACCGTTTATTAATGATTAAAAAATGAAAATTACTGGAAATTCTTATTGGTAAAAATGGATTTAAATCCCCACCCCCTCCTCCTTCTTTTCGCGATCAATTCGCGATCAATTCGCGATCAATTCGCGATCAAAGAAGTGAGGATTAGGATTGACAACTTATGAAATGACTGATAAAAAAAATAAATATTCAAAAAATTTGGAAAATACAAATGACAAGTCTCATGAATAATTAAACACCTCCGTTACGTGTGACACAGAGAGAAAAATTATTTCAGTTTATGTACTATGGATTTCACTGCATAATACATAGAGCGGATGGCCTTCAACTACCACTGCACCATTCACACGTTCGAGAGCGTGTAGTAATGCAAAATCCATTCTTTTTTCATTATTGTTATTATATGTGTAAAATATTAAATATCCAATGATAAATATAAAGGGATGATGATTCAATCGGACCGTTACAAGAATCGGATCGAGCCCATCCCCAACGGCGAGGGTTGAAGTTAAATATTCACTTAAATCGATTTTCACTCCGATAATTACGACCTGAAATATTCGATATCTCGCTCTGCCTCGAATCAATTCACCTTCCCTCGAGACAATTGTATAATTGAATCAATTTTTAATGACGGATCATCGAGATAATCGAGTTCTTGATAGATCGAATCAAAAAAAAAATTCAAAGCGATAATATAATTTCACCCACGCAACCCGCACGGAAAAATATATAATCCAAAAATTATTATTGGTATATAGTTTTCCGCGAGAATTATATATCAAATATATCCAACTTTCATTCTAAATATATTTTATATAACCGGTGAGATATATCCAAATTATATCTCGGAGAATTGATTTTTCACTGGAATATATGCCGCATATATTCGGATATATTTCATGTATATATGTATATATAATTCTACAATCGAGATTTATCACTGAATTATAATTATTCACGATTATTTATAAAAAAACAATAAATAATTTTTTTTTAATAAAAAATCAAAAATAAAATAAAAAAACATAAAATAATAATTTTGAAAATTATTTTTTAATAATTTCTGCTCTTTAATCGCAAGTGGTTTATCTATTTGCGGGAACGATCTATTCCCCTTTAATTCCATTAAGACTCCATTCATCTCGCCTCATCAAATCTCATTATCCTTCTTCAAATCGTCAACAGTCGCAAGTGTAATAATAGTCTTGTCTAGTCCTGAATAACAGCGCGCACGAGACATCATTATCACCAGGTGAACCGATTTTCCGTTATCAGTACAACAATCCCACATAATGAAGTTCCATGTAAACATAATGCATTTCATTTGCAACAGTCATTTGTAAATTGTCTAGCTTCGCGCGCTTTTCGACGGGGAAAAACCGCTCACGGAAAAAATTCCCATGATAAATATTATATCATAATATATTATACAAAATATATTATCGTTATATCCTGTCTAGAATACGGTAGACGGAACATTTGAAAATTTATTGTTGTCAATGGAATTTGTCAATCTGTGCAAGACATCGGATGATTAATTTTTCTTTGAGGAATAATGATTGTTTTGGAGGAATTAATTAGAAATCTGATGATTCTTTGGAAATTTAATCTGTGAATTGTTTTATTTCTCTCGCGTATTTTCTTTATCTCAGGAATGTTACAGATATTCACCTCTCAGAAATAAATTTGAAACTGTCCTCTAGAGATTGAGTAACAAGGTTAAGGAATTGTCACACATTTTTTTCCTTGGATTGCAATTTTTTATTTATTTTTTTCAGCTCTTATCGAGACTCCACGCTTCCGGCGTGATCTAATTAACAGGAAGATCATTAGTTTAACGTTCTAGTGCGAGAGGCATTAATTTTTAAGTATTCAGATGACTCGTCAAATAATTCCTCTGGGCTTTTTATTTGCTTTTTTATCTTTTATTTGGTGCTTTTATTTTTTTATGACTGTAAGTGCGAAGGCTGTACAGTCGTCGCTACCGGAAATAATTGGTTTGTTTATTTGTTTTAATTATTCTGGGGAAGGATTATAAATTTTTGAAAATTCCGCTCCGGGAATTCAGAGATAAAATAATTTATTTCTGGGTGTTATTAAATTTATGGATCTTGGAAAATATTTCAGTCCGATAAATTCAAATATGTCGCAGGAAAATAATTTTTAATGTCATTCTCATTTTTTGGAGATAAATTGAAAAAAAACAAGAAAATAAACAATGGAAAATTTTCTTTGGCCTCAGCGAGACGAGGAACATTATTAATTATAATATTTATTTTTTGTTAATAATCTTTTATAGGATATCACTTTTTTTAATCTATTTTAATTGAATTATATTTCTGGTTTAACAAATTACGATTTCTCGTGAAAATTCTCATAAAAATCGAATTATAAAAATAATTTGCAACAATTATTATAAAAATCACAATTATTATCGCTGTAACTCTCGAACTCGATGAAGAGATCTGAATCGAATCCATTAATCGAATAAAAAAATCGATCTGTTCCTGAATGAAAAATCGAAAAATTCCAACACTGACTTTAACCGGTAGTAAAAAATTAAAAAATCATGACAATTCATTAAAAAAACGATATAAACAAATGATGAATAAAAAAATAAAAATAAAACTCACACTACTCCCAACAAATCCGTGATTATCCCTGGACATGATCACGAACTCACGCTTGACTCGTGTAAAACCAAAAAAAAATCTCAAAACAAAACTAAAAAAAAAATGGAAAACGAAAAAAAAAAATTGTATCAGTGTTGTCAATGGCAGATTGTCATTCTGACAGGTGCGGTGGTCGGAATCAAACTGTTCTATCAGCGTCTACCGTACAAATTCATATACCACCCGCCACTGACACTCCACACATTGACAATCCGCCATAATTCACTCTTTACCTTGAAATACTTACCACAACTTCACACATACAAATCATTCTATACCTATCACTTTATTATATTTTCCAGTCGAACAAATATAACCGAACAAACATTTCCCCTGACATTCCAGACATAACATTTACGGTAATTACGCGAATTGATTGTTTGCTTCCAGGTAAATCAGGTGTATCGCGAAATTTTTCTGTGATTATGGGGGCGAGGGGGGAGAGGGGGGGAAGGGTAATCACGTGTAACCCCAGAATCATTGATAATTAAGGTTCGGTTACCCCGTTTACCTCCTTAAGACGTCAGTTCAACTATTCTATCATTTATTCAGTCTAATGTAATTGCATTTTTATTGGATAATTTCGTCTTTTATATTTTCGGTTTATTGATTTTCAAGGCAAAAAAATCAAAGGGTATTTTGTTATTGTCATCTCGTTTTTTCTTGTCGTCTGTAGAACCTCGAATTATCCAATATAAAAAAATGGTTTATTTTGTTGATGTAAATCATGGGAAGAGGTGATTTATCTTTCACTTATGCCTTTTTGTTACGTAATAAAATAGGGAACCGACAATTTGAGGTACTGATGTGCAGTGAATTATAAAAAATTACCAATACTGATGTTATAAACAATCACAGGCTTCATTTTTTTTTCGTTACACAACATTTTGCAATAAAAAACCTATTATTTCTTCTTAACGAAGCTTTAAAAAACTAGTACTATTTGATTTTTTCATTTTTTCCCATTGCAAAAAATTCCATGTAATTGTTCATAAATAAAAATTCATAAAGCCTTTCGCGGTTTTTGAAATTCAATTTATCAAAATTTATTATTTCCGAATTCTCCATTTTTTTACATATAAAATAAATCGCAGTTTTTGGGATATTTATTTTTTGATAATTATTTTTTCAAAAATTCAATTTATTTTTCACTAATGAGATGAATTGATAACAAATTGTGATCAATGGAATTTTCCCGAGTCAATCTAATGAGGTCAGACCCTGTGGCATCAATTTTGGAAAAAAAAATCATTAGGTCAGATTGTCTAGTGATTTTCAATGGCCTTGACGATAAAAACTCAAGGACATAGTGCAATGACACGCTGCATCGAGCCTAATATCACTAATATGTGACTGGAAAGGAAAAATTTCAAGCGGAAGGTCGTAACACTGAGACAGAAAAAAAAAAGAGGAAGTACATTTTTTTATGGTAATTCTCAATGACTAAATTGCCATAGAGAATTATCATCTTCCGACAATGAGAAAATTCCCAGTACTCCGCGATTTTGCTAAATTTATGCAATTCAGGAATTGACAGAGACATCCTCAACAGATTGTCCAGATAATCCGTGGAAGATAGTATCGCTGGAATTTTCAAGGACGAATTATCCCGCCAGATTAATTATATTTCATAATTGATTAATTCCCGGTGTTTCGTATTTTCGGGAATTCGCGGATTCGTCTGACGATTCATCTGGAATCGATAACAGATAATTATCTACAAAAATTTTTCGTGTGAAATTTCAATAAAAAATTGATCAACGCAGTAATTAAATTGATTGCAAATTATTCTTTCCGAGATGAAAGATAATGATCTCTTAATGAGATATAAATTCGTCCCTCAAGCCTAGAGATGCCAATTGTGTTTTGATAAGAAGATTCAACCGGAAATTGCGCAAATAACCATTGTTAAACCCTTTTGTACTGATTCACTTACGTTTTATTGAGTAACTACAGTTGAGAAAAAAAATATTCGTAGATAAGATACAAAGGCCCATGAATATCTAAATGAATATTAATCAGAGTATAATTGAAGCTGTCACAGCATTCCACAAAAAATTCGATATCTCCATAACATCTCGAGGTATCGGATCGAACGACCGCTCAATCGATAGATCTAGAATATTCCGATACTCCAAAAAAAAAGCCATCCCTCAATTCGCCTCATAAAAAAAATATAAAACCCATGAAAAACGTATTCTTCAATCGACAGTAATTTTTCTGGAGTTTCAGAATTTTTGCGCAAGCTGCTGGAGGAAAATACAATTTTTAAAAAATCCCACTAAATTTTCCGATCTATAGATTAACTCCATTTTTATCAATCGACTCTTGGAGGAATCCGACAGTCTTATCTGCAATTTGTTCTAGGTTCAACTCTTCGTAATTGCCTGAACTGTCCTTTAATCAATTCCCAGGGGGTGAATCTCGTGGTATCAATACCAAATTCACGACAAGTATCTTCAAGTGCTGGTAAACACAGACGTAAATAGGCATGATCAATTGTCGGCATCAGATGATGAAGACTGTGATGGCCATATTGAGTTAGAGTTAGAAAATGAGAGTTGTCGATTACATTGCGATCTCTCACAGTATCCATCTCCAGTAATCCCCAATCTCGATCTTTCCTGCATGATAATTTAAATAATAAACAATCAGAAGAACATAATCAGCTGTGCGACCGCAGTCTTAATTATTCCTATTGATATTAAAAAATATTAGTAATTCGGTAGTTGAAAGCGGAAATTTCCCGGGTCTTAATGGGGTCAGGGTAGATTCCACCACCAATTCTGGAAACTTGCGAAGGAGTTGGTAATTTAGATAAGATTGGAATTATAGGGAGGGGAACAGATAAAGATGATCAAATCCCAGTGGATCAATAATCCCAGGTGTTTACGGGATTAATTCCAAAAATTTGAAATTCGAAATTGAAATTTTTCGATTGCATAACCGATTGCAAATCCTTCAATTGATCGATTAATAGATCTATCGATCGATTAAGCGATTCGAGAATCCAGAAATCATTGATCGTTTCAATAGATCCGGTTATTTACTGGAGATTGTAATTTTCAATGTAATTGTTTATTGGTCATGATAAAAAATTGAATCATGATAAAAAAAAAATTGAAATAATCATTTATTTCAGTTATAATCGATTATTACTGGTTAGTGGAAAATAATAAATTATTTACCTGGCATTATCGCCATCGTGGAAGATATCGGGATGATGATGTGCCCCGTTGAGACCGATTGCGTGAAAAACAAAACTGCCAACGCCAATGATAAGCATCCAGTATTTAAAAGTTATCGGTAAATCTCCAGTTGCAAAAAACATTAATGACGGAATAATAAATGGAACAGCATCGCGAAATTGAAATGTCTGTCTGACAAAAAATACCTCAGCATATCTGAATAAAAGGGGAAGAAAAAAGGTATGAGTCATTGGAGAAAAATGAATCTATAAGATTTATTGATTTATCTAGTCATCGATTGATCAGCTAATCTCTATCGCACACGGTTTTGAATGGAAATTTCCGTTGGCTCGGTGGAATATTTTTTTCTCACGTGATTTGTGTTGAATCATCGGTCGTTTACCAGTGAAATGTAAACAGTTTTTATGATTTTATTCTAAATACTGATTAGGACTGCTGCCTGAGTTGGATAAGACTGAGAATTCGTTCAGTGATAAAAGAATAATGAGTAATTATTAATAATGATGAATTATTTCACGGGAGTTTATGATTCCCTGGGTAATGACGTGACTGAAATTCAGGAGAAGTGGAAAATCGATGTTCTCATTTTTTTATCGCTGGGTGAATTCCGGGATTTTTATGGGATTCATTAGGTTAATTATTGCTGTCAATAACTAGTTTGGATCAACACAGTCTATCGACTGCTAAATCTCATCTCGATGTGTGTGTCAAGGTAAAAAAAAATTAATCGGAATATTTTTTCCAAATTTTCAAAACGTTTTTCGGAACTTTTCGGTAAATTTTTCTTTTGAAACGAAAAAAAAATGGGGAAACAAAACAATTTGATTTTTTGAAAATGTTTTCAATAATTTTCTACAAATTTTCGCGCGTATAATTTTTTTTTAATTATACTATTGTTTTCTCACTTTTTTGATTTTTCAATATTCTCACAAAATTCGCGGTCTAAATGATAAAAAAAATCCCCTATTCAGATTTTTGAAAAATCTTTCAAAACCTTTCTCAAAAATAAAATTCTTTGGTTTTCCAATTTTTTTTTGTTCCATAAAAAAATGTTCTTTTTAAGTTTACCCGAAATTTTTTGAAAATTTGGAAAAAATATTCCGATAACAATTTCTTTTTACCCGGGTGCCTTAAATTGGTATTTTTATGAAAATTGCATTTCATTACAAAAATAGTGGGGATTTTTTTCTGAGGTGATGTACCTTCTCACAGCCTGCGTGTAAAAACCGATGAAATAGATAACGGGGGAGTAAAGCCATGCGGTATTTCGGGCGATGGGTGCAGCAATGCTCGGTAGATATTGTAAAATCGGTTCAAAAGACGAAATCTCGTAATCCCAAATGGTATTTGGATACATATGATGACTCATAGCATGAGTGATTCGCCACTCGCGGGATGACATCATGGAGATGTCCCAGTAATACATTCGAAAATTGTCACGCATGTGGAAGTAATTATGCGCTGATATTGTAGTAAAAGCCAAGTTTGTGCCTAAAAAAAAAAAAATTGGGAGATTTAAACTGGTCTCTCTTTGGGTCTCAGGCCCCATTTGGTGGGTGAAGGAAAATTTGTAGAAATTTCTATAAATTTCCCGGCCAATTGAAAAGTAAAGGATGATAAATATCCGCAGGATTTTTACCAGCGATAATGAGTGCAAGTCGTGATTGCGTAATTGCTGTGATAACGCACAAAAGTAGAGTGGTAATAGCCAGGGAATCAGCGAGTAAATTGGATTTCAATGATGGACGATGGAAGTCAACGTTTTTCAGGGCATCCAACGATCTTGCTTTCAATTTTTTATAAAATCCGTTCTTATCAAATGTCAGGGGTACAGCTCTTGGTTTAACTGCATCGCGGATGTAAAATTTTGGCAGCAATTTTTCAGCCTTATCCGTCAAGTGATGGCTCTGCAGAAAGAAGAGACATTAAATTTCACTTTTAGAATTTAAATTGGTGATGGAGAATAAATTTAAGATGACTTGGATGACATCCTGGTGCGTTATATCGGATTTGAGGGCTCGAACAGCGGCCGGAAGGTGCGCCATTTCATCCCCATGAGATACTAATCCTTTCTCTACTCTCATAATTAGTATCGCGCGTGAAAAAAATTATTTTACCTCGAACAATTCGGTGATATCAGTTCCCTTGGTGATGGTCAGCCACTCCGACCCCCCGGGATGTGTCTCCACAAAATTCGTGAGATCATACAATCCATCGTTGACCCTCCACAACCCTTCAGCCCCATCCACCCCTCTTCTACCCTCCACCCACCCCTCACCCGTAGGTATCTTATTAAATCTCGCTGGAAATTCCACAAGCCCCGGTATCGAGCTCTTCAATATCGGGCCCTTCATCTTATCACTATCAAAAAACAATCTCTATCCCAATTGATGTATTCTCACTTGTTGCAATTAATAAACTCGTTGTCACACATACGACTGATCATCCCCAGTCCTAATCAATCCTTGTTACACCCCAGCCGATCAAGGGGATGCTAACAATTAACAATAAATAATCCTCATATTCAGAAAACAATCATTCGGGTCATTTTGGAAAAGAAAATCAATGTACCACTTTTAAAGACTACTGCACTCACTGCACCCGAATGTATACAGACTAGAAAGGAGTCGACCTTTATATACGATACATTCCTGATATTCACGACAAAAATAGTGACCCCTAAACGATACCCCTAAACTTCAGATAAAGTACGGAAATTCACGATTACAACGCGTGTAAATAAACCTTGACAACAGATCAGAAAGAAAAATGCGATCTTCTGGGGAGTTCTACGAGTTCTAACTCCAGAAAATATTTCCACTCTAAACAAAATATTTCTATTCATTAAATTCACATCTGCAAATAAATTCTCCAACAACAATCACAATAAACATAAATAATTTATTATTCTCACTGAAATAACGAATTTATCAACATTCCCTGTAAATTATAAATGTCAGATGAATTATTTTATTAGACTGAATCATCCAGTCGATGTAACTATTGCCGAATTATTTATGGTAGTCCTTGAGGGAACCTTGATTCAATGCAAAATAAATAATCTTATCTGTAATTTGTTTTCACTTGAACTCTCCGTAATTGTCTGAACTGCCCTTTAATCAGCTCCAAGGGTGTGAATCTCCTGGTACCAATCCCAAATTCACGACAAGTGTCTTCAAGTGCTGGTAAACACAGATGTAAATAGGCATGATCAACCGTTGGCATCAGATGATGAAGACTGTGAAGGCCGAATTGAGTTAGCGTTAAAAAATAAGAATCATCAACGATTTCCCGGTCCCTCACCGCGTCCATCTCCAGCAATCCCCAATCTAGATCATTCCTGTGACATCAACAAACAGTACCATTAATCATTCTTACTCCCAACCGGAAGCACTCTAATCCTCGAAATTCAATACCTATTAATTAATATTCATCAATTATATTTATTCAGTAACATATTTTTTATATTTATTTCATATTTTGATTATTTCATATTTATTCAATTCTGGTAAATTGTGGAAAATTTATTTATTGTTATTGCAAGTGCTGTTTTTTTAGTGAGATTTTTACCTCGGATTATCACCGTCGTGGAAAATATCGGGATGATGGTGCGCTGCGTTGAGACCAATCACATGAAAAACAAAGCTCGCAACGCCGATGATAAGAATCCATTGTTTAAAAATTTGTTGTAAGTCTCCAGTAGCTAAAAACATGACTGTTGGTATGATAAAAGGAACAACGTCGCGGAATTCTAATTTTTTTCGCACCAGAAGTATATGAATGTATCTGAAAGATTGGAGTGGATTGGAATAAAAATTCAGAGTGATAAATCGATTTTGTATTGGATATTTACCTTTTGATTCCCTGGGAGTAGAACGCGAGGAGATAGACCAGGGGTGAGTAGAGCCATGAGAATTTTCGAGATATGGGAGCAGCAATTTTTGGCAAATACTGAAAATAGGGCTCAAATGTCAGAATTTCGTAATCCCAAATTGTGTTTGGATACATGTGATGGCTCATGGCGTGAGTTATTCGCCATTCGCGGGATGACATTAAAGATATGTCCCAGTAGTACATTCGAAAATTATCGCGCATGTGAAAATAGTTGTGTCCGGTTATTGTCGCGAGTGTCATGCTTGTGCCTGGAAAAATTATTGCCGTAAAAATTTCCGTTTGTAAGACATATTTTCTTCATCTGGTATTTTCGTTATTTTCATTATCAGCGAGTTAGCATTTTTACCAGCGATTATCAGTGCAAGCCGTGATTGCGTCGTTGCGGTGATTACGCACAAAAATAATGTGGTGATAGCCAGGGAATCAGCGAGTAAATTGGATTTCAACGATGGTCGATGAAAGTCAATGTTCTTCAGAGCATTCATCGATCTCTCCTTGAATTTTTTATAAAATCCGTTCTTATCAAATGTCAGGGGCACAGCTCTTGGTTTAACTGCATCGCGAATGTAAAATTTTGGCAGCAATTTTTCAGCCTTATCTGTCAAGTGATGGCTCTGCAGAAAGAAGAGACATTAAATTTCACTTTTAGAATTTAAATTGGTGATGGAGAATAAATTTAAGATGACTTGGATGACATCCTGGTGCGTTATATCGAATTTGAGGGCTCGAACAGCGGCCGGAAGGTGCGCCATTTCATCCCCATGAGATACTAATCCTTTCTCTACTCTCATAATTAGTATCGCGCGTGAAAAAAATTATTTTACCTCGAACAATTCGGTGATATCAGTTCCCTTGGTGATGGTCAGCCACTCCGACCCCCCGGGATGTGTCTCCACAAAATTTGTGAGATCATACAATCCATCGTTGACCCTCCACAACCCTTCAGCCCCATCCACCCCTCTTCTACCCTCCACCCACCCCTCACCCGTAGGTATCTTATTAAATCTCGCTGGAAATTCCACGAGCCCCGGTATCGAACTCTTCAATATCGAACTCTTCATCTTATCACTATCAAAAAAACAAACTTATATGCAATTAAGGCGTGGATTGCAGCCAGTCCATTCCCACTTATGCAAATACTGAGGAAAAGATTTCCCTTTATATACAATCGGTCCAATCACCCACGGATCACACTCACATGCATCACCATAATGTGACCTCCCGTGATACCCCCCAAACTCTCTTCCTCGATAAAATATTTCGCATAACATGAAGTATAGGTCATTGTAAAATGCAACGTAATGACACATGTAAATAAACCAGAGGAAAATAATTGCGGGAACCCCAGCTCCAGTCGAGACAGTCATATGACAAAACTCGACAATTGAAAATTCTCTTGACTCACGTGAGGTCAACAAACGAAGAGAAATATTCAATAAAAATGACGGAACTTGTATTCGCTCATTCATCTGAATTCCTGCTGTCTGTTCCTTCTTCCAAGAGTTATTCAACTGTATTGTTTCAAATGGAGCACCCTGCATAGGAAATAATTACACAAAGACAACAAGAAATTAATGTCATATGCCATAACTACTGGCACAAGCCATCCAAAAATAATCATATCCACACAATATCATCACCGTAATCTTTATTCAACTTTCACCACATCATCGTTATCGCTAAACATCTTACTGATCATAATTCACAATTAATACCCCCCTAATTACCGATACAAAAATACAACGTAATATCAGGTGAGCTAAATGAATACAACTCAGAAACAGCAATTAAAATCAGTACCAAAGAGATAAAAGGTAACAGCTTAATTTTTGAGGGATATCTGGGAATCCGAGAGAGCTATCGAAATTTTAGTCTAGATATCTTTTGCGGGGCTCATTGCCCTCCACAAAAGAGGTCCTACTGAAAATTTTGCTATCCCCCTCAGATTTCAAGGTATCCAACAAAGACTCGTCCAGGGAACGTTACCCTCGAGCTCTCACCCCTGAAATGTTATTACTCCTCTAACACCTGAAGTCCTCATGTTCTTCTGTTGATGATATTCGGGTAGCTGCATCTTCTGCACAAGAATATGTTGACGTACTTTGCGGCTTGCTGTCTCATGGAGGATGATCCTTCGCTGACCACTTCGTCCCCGAATTTTTTCTTTCTCCGGGAGGTCTTGGCGAGTCCCTTCAAGGGTCTGTGAACATCCTCATGGGTCTCTCCCATCGTATCTCTCATCCTCACAGACATGTAAAAATCATTGTCCCCTGGGTCCCTATCAACGTAACCAAAGAACAAATTCTGGCATGCCTTGCTCTTGCAGTGGCCCTTGATCTTCAGGTAATGGAGACTATTCGCTGACTCATATATCTTCGAATTGTCAAAAACAAAAGCACAGGGTAATTTAGTCTGTCTCGTGACAGCCAGTGCTAGTATATTTGTCCATATTCCTGGATTGAGAATGGCGTAGTGACGCTTGTTGTACCTTTTACTGTAGCCTTTCATCTCTCGCCATTCATCACGTGTTATCAGGATGTCAAAGTGACCGAGACCAGCCGCATCGGCGTCCACCTCGAAGTCGCTCAGGTCATCGGTCAGATTCAAAAGTTTTGAGTCATTGTAGACGTCGTCGTCGAGTTCGAGGTCTTCTTCATCCTGGTAGAGCATCTCGAGGCCCGTATATTCGCTGGTTTCGCGCTTTGGCTTCTTCTCTGGCACCTCCTCTGGAATGAAAATACCCTGATTTTCACGGGCTGCTGTCAGAATTTTCCGACGATTTTCGCGGACACTTGTGTAACAGTTGTGATGACTCCAGCGGAGACCAAGGTCCTTCGATATTTCTTTCCACACTGGGTCGCTGTACGATGGGAAATCGTTTGTTTTGAAGTGATCGATGTATTTTTCTAGGACTGCTATCGCCTCGTCTCGAGGCACTAGTGAAACACGCGGCATTTTTCGGGATTGATTGTTTCTGCAAATCAGAAGTGAAGGATTTAATATCCCCATTAATAAACATTTATTTCATTTTAATTTCTTGGAAAAAATTTTCATTTCATTTTTCCTGCTGATTATGAAGGCCGAATCCGGTAGAGCCTCGAATTTTTTCCTACAATTGAAATATATGGCTTATGCCCGGAATTTTATTTATGATGTCGTAAAATAATTTCAGTCAAATTATTCCCGAACAATTGAGACGAAATATAAGAATTTGAGGTAAAAATGGCCTTCAATTTTTATTGGTTGAATCCGCTAGGTATTTACGAGGGCTAATTATTCATTTACGATTGTAGGCTGTGGGTATAAGAATTACATAGCCGTAATATTGCCATAAAAACTATCAAGCTGTAATATTACAAGGAAAGATATTATGGAATGTAATATTATGAAGCCGTAATAATAACTCCATGGAAAATCATTCCAAAATTCTAATCAAAATTTTAATCAATACCAACTCAACACCAAATAAAGTACATGTTATTATAATTTATTTTTAGAACAAAATTAGACACGTGCCTGAAGGGGTGGGGATGGATTAATAGTAGAAATTTGAAATAATTTTTTTTTTCAATCGCCTCACAATAAAGAAAACGAAATTCCTGTAATAAAATTGTAAAAGGAAATTAATGGAATTCAATATTTCTCTTTATTATTAGTTTATCTTGACGAATGTTAAGTTTGGGAAGAAATCTGAAAAAACATTTTTCCTCCGAAATTTCGGCAGCTCCAAGAAGCTCCTCTGGTATTTTCATGTGAAATTGGTAGTTTCATTGGTAAATGGGTAATTAAGAATAAGACAAACACTCAATTCTACATATTTGAGTTAACAACATCATTACTGATTTATAATCATTGATGAGAGATAGACAACATGAATTCCTCATCGGAAATTTACCTGGTAATTTGATAAGCCTCATTATCAGATAAAATTTCGTGAAACCTAGAAAAATCCGGTTTTAACTATTTGAGGGATAAATACCAAGATTATCTCGCTCTTCTTCACCGTGCAATCAGAATTGATGTTTGGAGATGATAATAAAATATCATTCCGCAGTCGTCATCTCGAAATTTGAAAAAATATTTTTCCCTCTTGAAACTATCATGAATCGAGCGGTAATTGACATCATCAGTGATAACCGTATCTACAATGAATTTATTAGAACGACATAAAACAAATTACTGATCTTCCACTAATTTGGAGGTTAGCTTCGTACATCTTTAGGTTTCACAAATTTTTGAAGATAAAATGTACTTTCACTTACTCAATCTGATGATAACGTCACAATCGCGAATTCCCAGTGAATTCTTGTGGAGGAAGAATTATAATTGTTGATTCTCTGGTGAAATTCAGTCATTCAGGATTTTCGTCAGCCGTTTGTTCGTTTGTTTTCGATTTAATTTCGTAAAAAAATATCTTTAGTCGATTGAATAGAAATCTGCTGTACCTTCCCATCATCCGCTAATTTTTCCCGCCATAAATCTGGCGGCAAAGGACTGATTATTCAAAAAAATTTTTAATTGAAAAAGTTGATGAATCAATTGTATAAATAAATTGGAAAAATTACAAAAATTGGATAAAACGTAAAAATTAGAAAACGGAAATAAATAAAAAAAATGGCAATTTCTTATATATCTGTTATCAATTTTCTTTATTCATCACATGATAAAAAAAAATAATCACAATAGCTTCTCGCTAAACACAGGATATCGAAAAATTTTAAAAATACTAACCGATAAAATTGCATTTCAAGGGAAAGCTAAAATAAATACCGATGAAATTGGAAAGAAGCCTGAAAAAAAATCCCCAAACTGATCTCTTTTCGTGTCTACTTCGATAACTCGACGATTCGAATCCAAACGTGAAGTCACGAAATTTTCTCATTTGAATGCATAAACGCGACTTCGTTCATTTATCTTGTCACTCATGAAGATTGTAATCGTGCAATCGTGCACATTGCTTACCACAGAAGACTGAATCGGTCTTTGAGCAATTGAGTCGAAGATAATTAAAAAAAATTATCTGACGCCTTATGAATTTCTCCGTTTACCTCCGTTGTGGTGTAAAGATAGTAATATTATTGTCCTGAAATTTGTTAACTTGCCATGAGCCTTCTTAAAAGTGGCACATCACTGTCAGAGTCACTTTGACAGCTGTGGCTGCCCCCCGGCTCTTCCTCATCAGATTCATTCTCCTCCTTGATTGTCACTTTGACAAAATCGCCAATGTTCTCATCAATTTGTCGTCTCTTCTGCGGTCTCCGTCCCCTCGTCAATTTAGGTATGTATTTTTCAACGGTCGGCTTGACCCTTCGAATATCGAAGTCCTGATCGACCTTGGTGATAGTCTGGAGTCGTTGTTCCTCGGATGTGACGTAGAGATCGTCAGGCTGGTGATAATTATTATGGACTTCGTACGCTTTCTTGCTGCAGAATAGAGCTGAACACATCGTACACTTTATGAGATCATCTGGAACTCTTTCTCGCTCTTCCTGGAATTAAAATGACAATCACTTTATCAATTAATTATCTCATTGATATTGACTTTGCAATTATTTACCCGTGTGTGAACTTTTTCTAAGTGCTGTTGAAGATTGAACTTCACGATGTACTCGACACCACAGATATGGCAGTAATAAACACTCAATGCATCGTTCATCGAGTTTACTTTGATCTTGTTACTGGGAGGAGGTGTTGCTATGGGTTGAAAAATATGCACAAGTCTAAAAACAAAATTCCATACATTACTCCCACAATTCGAAGAGAAATATATATAAATGAATAATTAATCGAGGGAATAATGAGTCAATTTCAGTATTACTACAAATAAATAAAAAGTATTCATACAATATTTATTTATTCTCTAACGATAAACTCAACTCTTTTCTTACCTTTTGTGAATCGATCGATAATGATAATTTAGGGCCTTCAAATTGTAAAAAACTATGTCGCACTCCTCGCATTGTTTATGATCAGACGTTTTTTTACTCTCCTCAGGATTGTGTGTGGTCATGTGATTATCACGATGGGTCTAAAATAAAATTTTCAAGCATCACGTTTTTCTTGATTCTAGGTGATGGTTTTTAATTGCTCTTGGGGATGGATTTATACCTTCAGGGGAAACTGCTTGCCACAGTAACTGCAGTAAAATTTAGCTGGTGAATTCGGATGCACCTTGAATCTGTGGCGAATCGTCGCAGTGATTGACTCAAATGTTTTTCCACAGATATCGCATAGTTCATCAGTCTTACTCGTCTTCCTCGGGATTTTTCTCGTATGCGGTTTACCCCGTCCATCAATCTCCTTGTTCGCATGTTTTCTAAAAAAAAAATCAGTAAAAAATGTATCATTCTCTGATTTTCTTCGGTCATCATCAATTTTCGATAATCCAATGATTTATTTATTCATAATTGATTTTTATTATTTTTAACATTCATCGAATTTATTCAATCACTCAATTTTCCCTCACGCAAAAATGAATTCAATTTTTTTTCTAGCCATTCTCATTTTTTATTATTATTATATTATTACAGATTGAATAAAAAATTGTTTGGAATGAAAAGGACTTTTTGATTATTTTTCATAGAATTTATTTGTGAGACCTGATTTTCTGAAATTCATCAAGAAAATCGAGAGATCGTGGATTCGGTAAAATTCTAAAGGTTAGAAATCGTCAATCTTTCCTCAATTACCTTTATAAATTCAAAGATAAATTTATAAATAATTACCTGAAGTGCTCCTGGAGTGCCTCTTTGCTCTCCAGTTCAGCCTCACACAATACACATTTGTGCTCCACGGTGATAAATTTTTTACTCAACTTTTGACAGTCCGACTTAATCCAAACTTGACAAAACATCACAGTTGTCAGACTATTATTTTCAAAATTCCCGCATGTTGATAATTATAACTGAAAAACGAGGACTCGTTAGATAAATTCAAACAACACAAAAACTCTAGGACCGACGAAAATAAGGATGAGTAATTAATTTTTTTCTTCCAATTTTCTCACTTCACCTGATATTGTTTTTCTGTGTTTAACTGAGAAAATCAATGGACCACCATTTTTTTAATTTGGAGGTAGCGCGCTCTAGAGACATTAGTGCGGGAATTTCAAATAATGAAATAACGAAAGATGCAAAAAAAAAAATCGACAATTTTCATGAAAATCGTAAACGATCTTCAGACTATTTCCCGATAAAAAAATAATAATAAAAAAAGGGCAATTGGATTCCCTTTCTCCTTTTTATATTAGGATCTTATATATGTACATATATATATCTCATATATAATCTTCATCTTGCAGTGATTGTCTCCAGAGTCCTCCCCAATCGTTCCAATCCAAAACACGACCTGAATAACCAAATAACCACAAAAGCACCCAAAGTCCCAGTCTTCATTCCCAAAACCCGAATAAAAGCAAAATGTGTATTTTAAATGTGCCCTGACCTTCGGCGAGCTGTAATTTCTAAAAACCAGTGCGTGTCCATCCTTCCAGTCCAATCAAAACTGAAGACTAGGGAAAGTTCTGGACAACACCACCTCAAGTCATTTCTCCAAAATTTCAACCTGTCAAAAAGAAAAAATCCAAACAGCCCCAAAAGCTGCTGAATAATTTCATCAGATAACTCGGCGTTGCTTGGAGGAGAGAATTCAATTATTAAATTAAAAAAATGTACATATTCAAGCCATTCAGGTTCGAAATCGTGGAGCCCTTTCCAACAACAAAAAGACCCCGAGCTCGGAGCGGTCATCGAATCGTCTGCGACGATAAATACATGTACTCAATAGGAGGTTTCAATCCTTGTGTACCTGAGCATGACGCAGAAATGTCTGAGGACGAGGTATGGAAGACAAGCCGGCCCCTCTTCAAGGAGCTATGGAGATTCAATCTCTCGACGAAGAAGTGGCAACGATATCCCGGACAGATATATCTACCAATTGAATTGGCCTCGACCGCTGTTTTATTATTTAGACACAAATTGATATTTTATGGTGGTACTGCTGTGCCATTTGGGGAGAGCTGCAGCAATAAGTTGTACGTTTGTGACCTGGAGGGGCTTGACGGTAGTGTATGCCAATTACCAGCTGTGGGGAGTCTTCCTGATCCTCAGTATGGCCAAGCACTGGTGAAGACGAAGAATTTTATCTACACGGTTGGTGGTACCACTGGTTACGAGTACACGTGTGATGTTCATCGGTATGATCTCAGGGTAGGTGTCTGGGAGAGCGTTTATATTTGCTCGGGAAGAGATCCCATGGAACCACCTGGAAGATACAGACACGAATTGGCTTTTGATGGTAGAAGGATATACGTACTCGGTGGTGGTACTGGTGTCCAGAGCTTCGGCTTCTCTGTGAGTATTTTTTAATGGATTTTTTAAATGAAAATAATGTTGTTGCATGAATACATGAATTTATCGTGCTACCATCATTTGTCTTTCAGCATATACCAGCTTTTGACATCGAGACAAACACTTGGAGTATTCTCCATGCCCATGCAGATCCTGGAAGTCAATTGACCTTTCCAGGTGCCAGGAGGTGTCATGGAGCTGTCCAATATCTCGATAAAGAGACACAGAGTGTTCATGTCATCATATCGGGGGGATTTTGCGGAGGATTGGCGTACAAAGATGTCTGGAGGCTCAATCTTAAGAATCTTCAGTGGAATAAAATTGTTCACTGCACCTTACCTAAACCTCTTTATTTCCACTCAGCTGCTGTTACCCCAGCTGGCAAGATGTATACTTTTGGAGGAATCATCGAAACACACGAGCAAACGGTTAATCATTAATTATAATTATTCATAATTCCAGATAATAACTTTATAAATGTCTTAAATAACAACGTGTGCATTTATTATTTATAGACACCAAGGACCAGTGACGTTTTGTCAACCTGGGTGATAATCCCCAGTCTCTCCGAAATCTGTTGGGAGGCAGTGAATCATTACTACGAACTCAGAGCGAAAAGCAGAGACCAACTCTTGGATATTGGCATACCTCTGAAATTTATTAACAGGTTATTTGATTAATAGCTGTTATTCTAATAACCATTTTTTATTTATTTATTTTTTTTAGAAAAATAACTTTATCATCTTGTTTACTCATGTCACTAAATCATCTTCAATGTTGTTACCATTATTATTGGAAATTTATAAGTAATCTAGTTGTTGAACGAGAAATTAACGATAAATTGGTCATTGCAAACGAATAACAAAAAATGACGAATAGTTGGTTTTTATAATTATGATTACTGGTAATGTACGTTATTAGTCTCGGCGGGAGTAATCCTTTCATGTTTATTTAGCTTCGTTGAGAGGATTGGACATGTAATATTAGTCATATTGTAGTTGCGGTTATAATTATTCGCATAACATTATGTATATTATTTTTTTAATGAAAAGAAATAAAGAGATTGATTTAAAGGGCGAGCCACGTGGCCCCCATTTTCCATTTCAAGATAAGTCACATCAATTCCCAAAACCTACGAGTTTTGAAATTTTTTTTGAAATCGAATTTAACTTCTAGTAAAAAACTTGCAAAATCAAATATCCACGATCATCCGTAAAATTCAATTAAATAATCGTTATAATGATTAATAATTATTCAATTATTTGGTTTGAATTCCGTTCTGTCAATTTAAAAAATTGGGACAATTTTAAAAAAACCAAAGAGGATTGACTGAAGTAGAGGCTCAGTTCTGGGGGTTTGAGTGACACCAGCGGCATCGTAGTACTGCACCCCAAGAGAGGGAGGGCACCACACGCAATGGGGGTGTCGTCCCGTCAGCCCACTTGGTATCAGAGGAGCATAAAAATGGAGGAGGAGGAGGAATTTGAAATATCGAAATTTTTCGAAAAGTATAAGGAGAGCATGAAAATCGAGGAGGTATTCACTGAAATTTGAAAATTCGAAATTTTTGAAAAAGTATCAGGAGAGCATGAAAATCGAGGAGGCATTCACTGAAATTGAAAAATTCGGAATTTTCAAAAAAGTATAAAGGGAGCATGAAAATCGAGGAGGTATTCACTGAAATTGAAAAATTCTAAATTTTTGAAAAAGTATCAGGAGAGCATGAAAATCGAGGAGGTATTCACTGAAATTGAAAAATTCGGAATTTTCAAAAAAGTATCAGGGGAGCATGAAAATCGAGGAGGTATTCACTGAAATTTAAAAATTCGAAATTTTTGAAAAAGTATCAGGAGAGCATAAAAATGAAGGAGGTATTCACTGAAATGTAAGAATTAAAAATTTCAAAAAAGTATCACGGGAGATTGAAAAATTTTAAATTATCAAAAAATAAAATTCACCCAGTCGATGGATCCCTCTGACAGCGCGACTGCTACTGAGGCAGTTACCGAGTCGACTGACGGGTAGACCCCCCACCATTGTGTGCGCTACCCTCTTTCTCTTGGGGTGGGGTACTCCCGGAACGGAGCCGCTCAGTGGGAGTTTGAGTGAGCCAACCAGCATTGTAGTACCCTCCCCAAGAGAAAGAGGGGGGGGCCTCAATGGTGGGGTGTCCACCCGTCAGCCGACTCGGTAACTGCCCCAGTAGGGCAGTAGCAGTCTCGCTGTCAGAGGGACCGATCGACTGGCTGAATTTTATTTTCTAAAAATTAAAAATTTTTCAATTTCAGTAAATACCTCCTCGTTTTTCATGCTCCCCTGATACTTTTATAAAACTTTCGAATTTCGAGCATGAAAATTGAGAAGGTATTCACTGAAATTGAAAAATTTTAAATTTTCAGGAAATAAAATTCATCCAGTCGACTGGTCCCTCTGACAGTGGGACTGCTACTGGGCCAGTTATCGAGTCGGCTGACGGACAGACACCCCCATTGCGTGTGGCGCCCTCCCTCTCTTGGGGTGCAGTACTACGATGCCGCTGGGACCACTCAAACCCCCAGAACTGAGCCTCTACTTTAGTCAATCCTCTGTAAGTCTGACTTAGTTGATGAACTGGCTGTGGTGGTGAATTTTTCGCTCTCGTGGTAATCATCCCAGTCAAGGCAGTCAGCGTGACAAGCTGCCACTGAAAACTATCCGTTTGACCAGATGAATTCGTCGTGTGACTATATATCAAGATCTACCGAAATGGGCCAAGTGCTCATGTAGTAATTGTTGAGTATTTGGACATCGCTTCCTCGAGGTTGTGTAGGTCCTGGTGACATTTATTTAATTTTTTTTTTTTAATCCACCGAATTAATCCACTTAATCGCTAATTCCCGAGTGGATATTCATTTGGTCGAGCTATTTCTTGGTATTCGCTGATTATCGTAGACGCAATTGTCAGCGAAATGGAGCAGAAGAGGGTGTACAAGGTCGTACTTACTGGAGGTAATGGCAAACTTTTTTTTATTTTGACTCATCCCACTGGGGTAAATTCATTGGTCAGTCCCTCTCGGTTGTCATTTTTCACTCTTTTGTTAATTTGTTTTTACATGTCAATCTCACGAAAGCTATTTGTAGACATCTTCTTTTCAATCGAAAAACTCTGGACATTTTAATTCAGAAGAGAATTATTTTTGGAGGGAATTCAATGATTATTTAATTGTTAATTAATTCATCGTTGTGGGGTATTGGGGTCTCTCAGGGTTCATCTAGGTAATTAATTAGAATTAGTTAGATTCTTTGCCATAAGCCGATCTCGTGGGATTTTTATTAATTTTCCATGGACACCAGACTTGATGACGATTGTTGTGATGAGTTTTATTGATGAATTATTATTATTTTTTTTTTGGCATTTGATAGAATTTTTTTAACGTGGGAATAATTATTCGATTCTCGAGACATCACCACGCGCCTGGCATTTATTTTACGTCGCGTGTCTCCAACGACGGATATTAACAGTTTTGAAACGTGAACCGTCTTCCGGTTTCCCCCCTGGGGCTCATTTAAATTAGTAATCAATGATAAGAGAAGCAATTGCGAGAGTTGATGGTAGAAGCAGTTGATTGAACTGCATAAATTAATGCTAGATTAGGATCAGACAACGATTGAGATTATTCTCAGTATTAATTCAAATATTCTGATTTTATACTGAAGACTCGACGAAGGCCTCGATAGCTGTTTATTTTAAGAATTATTGATGATATTTTTTATGTTTTCTACGAACTTCTGAGAAGCGGATCATTTAATGGACGGGGAAAATATCGAAGAATTTTTCTACGTCCCCAGGAAAATTTTGCAATAATTCCCAAAACTTTACTAATAATTTAAAAAAATTGATTCACGACTAAGAAAATTTTGGGGTCATAAAAAATCGAAAACTCGTGTATTTTTTTACGTGAATCCCATCATAAATTTTTCAATATGAAGATAAAAAATGCAAATGTTGGAGGAAAGAATGTAGAACACAATTTATTTCTCCTTGCAAAAACTTACGTCATCGATACTTTAACGTTTACATATCATGTTCGTATTGTTTGTTTTTATAGAAAAAACTTGTCTCTCGTTGAGGCTTTATTTTCCTCAATTGTCTTGATATCGGTGTTATCACAATCCTGATAAGGTAATGAGTGTCTCAAACATGAAAAGATTGACCCCAAAATGAAGAATAAAATCAATTTATTGCTGTTTTTTAAATAATTTTTCGCGTAAACTTTCATAAAAATTCATAAAATTGAAGATCAAGTAAAAATTCTTTTTTCCGCTTAGATATCTGAACATTAAATGGACTAAACAGATTCTTTTTTTTAATGAAATGGAATTTTACAGGTTTCCCTAGTTGCGCAGTAGGTGCCTGATATATTTGACAATAATCTCGTGTACGTTTTATTTATTTTTGAATTTGTGGGATCGGTTATTAGCAGATTATTGGGGCATTAATTATGAAGGTAATGAGTATGCTATTGTCGGGGACTTGTTGTCAAGGTCGTAGCCAAGGTGAAGGTCGCTTCATCGAGGGTTATCAGGAAGTCAATCGATTTTCAATGAAACGCGTTTTTAAACGAGATATTCCGATCGGATGTGATAGGTATCACCCTGATAAATATTTTGACATAAAAAAAAATTCATTCGGTCAAGTAGTTTTTGAGATATTCGAACAAAACGATTTTTCGGAAAATCGATATATCTCGAAAAATGCTTGACCTATCGACCTGGAATTTTTCCCATATATTCTCCCACGTAATTTTCATTATTCCACAAAATTTCAGATTTTTAACTTAAATGTTACTCCTTTTTGTTTTTTTTTAAGTTCAAAAAATAAACACAAGTTAAATATTATTATTAATAATTATATTGTTGAATCACAGAACTTCCAGTGGGAAGGAAAAATGAGTTCATTAAAATTTTTTGGATGTAGATGTGAAAAAATGGGAGGAGTAATTAATTGAAAATTGAAATAAATATGAAATTTCGATGAATCTTCAAATATATTTATAATTTTTCGTTTTTTTTTATGTTTCAGGTCCTTGCGGGGGCAAAACCACCGGCCAGACTCGTCTCTGCACATTTTTTGAGAACATGGGATGGAAGGTGGGTGAATGATTCATTAATGATTTTAATGACGCGATCAAAGATTGGAAGATTATTAAATTTATATTCGAGTGATAGACCAATGAAAAAAATTAAAAATCTCCCGTAAATAATAAATGTTTTTAATGATGTCGCGTAGATTGTCGAGACATTTTTTTTTATTGAAAATCGTTGGGAAGTGAATTTTTAGTGGTAAAATAACGTTGCTTGGGATTTTGTTGAATTTCTGGGGTGAAATTCGAGGTTTTCATTCCTCCTGCGTTGTGGATTCGATAGAGTGGTGGTTGTCTTATTTTTCAGGTGTTCCGTGTCCCCGAGACAGCGACTGTGCTGCTCAGGTATGCTATTTAACAAATGTAACAACAGTGCAAAAAAAAGAGAATTAATTGATGGAACGTCAAGAATTAACGAAATTCCATGTTTCTGGTAATTCTTCAGTTGTCTCGTTGAGGTTGCTGTCGTCTCAAATATTTACTCAAGTTTTTGTTTAAATTTTCATCGCGAATAGTCGAAAAAAGTAGCTGCAAAATTATTGTTCTACAAAAATTATTTACAGACACTGCGTGCGACAACAATCTTAATGAGTTATTGCCGATCTCTCCTCATTTTTCATGTTATTTATTATTTTTTTTTGTAAATTTCTGGGAAATCCTAGATCAGATTGACGCGAAAAAATATATCGTTTTTTTGGGTTTATCATTATTTAATGACACACGTTTTCATAATCGTGCGTTTATTTTTCAAATTTTTTTTAACGCGTGGAAATTTCGGCAAATGTTTAAGGACGCTATATTTTTTAATGTCAATCAATAATTTACCAGAAAATTATAAAAAACGTGAAATATCTCTGAAAGATTGTTAAACATCCTTAATGCGACGATTTAGGAGAAAACTTTTGAAAAATTGAAATTTTCCCACACATCGCACAGCAATTTTTTATTCTGCAATTTTTTTTTTAATCAGTCGTCATCGGGTTAATCAAATCGTAAAAATCAAAAGCATCGATTCGCTCCTTTTTGCCACGTTTCCTCAATTTGTTGCAACAAATTCGTTGAACTCAAGTTATTCAATTAAAATTTGAAATAAAAAAAATAACAAAAAATTTCTTCGATCATCGAATCATTTAGCCATTCAATTTTTTCAGTCCATTTAATTTTCAGTATTTTTAATTTCAAGTTGATTTAAGATTATTTTGTAATAATTATCTCAACATGGTTTTTTGCTTTTTCTTTACCTTACAGTGGTGGAATCAAGTTCTCAGATCTCACAGCAGAAGAGGGTAAGTCATTATCATTAAAAAAAATAGTTATAAATTAATATAAATAATTCTCACCCTCTCCTCCTGAATTTTCCAAGTGCAAAATTTCGCTATTTCGAATTACCGATTTCTTAAAATTCCAATTACAAATTATTGCTATTTCAAATTTAAAATCCTCGCAATTTCGAGTTGCGAAGAAAAGTTATTTCCCATGAAATCGCTGTACTGGGAATAAATTTGTTTAGTAAGTGTAATTTAAACGGAGAGCTTCGTCAAACTCCCGAGCGTAATAAGAAGCTGAAAAAAAATAACAGATTGCATATTTTGCTCATTAATAAATTCATTAACAAGCGGAATTGTCTGATGCAATAGCCTCAAGGGCTTTCAACGATTGATCAGCATCCACACCCTCTCATGAATAAAAAATCATGAGAGTAAATCCATTTAATTATAACAACACCCAATAATCATAAATTTTTCTTCTGCCTTTCTCCTGTTTCTATGGATTATTAAATTGTTGACTATTTATTATTAAATTGTTCTCTTCGATCTATTCTCCACTCAAATCTTGCGATTCTTCCTGAGAATTCTATACTTTCATCTCCTTTCGTGTAAACACGTGATCAAAACGCAGACAATGAATACGAGAAATTATACGTTTCTCTTTTCTTCGTACTGTTTATCATTACACGAAAATAAATAGTGGCGCACTGCCAGGTATATTTCAGATGCAACTAGTTTCAAGAACTGCATCAATATGCAATCCCATCGTAAGTGGATAAATCATCTTTAAAATCGTCAATTATTATTCATCCAAACCAAAAAAAAAATGTCTATCCGCAATAAAAAATATTGATTACTATATAAATTATTTTCAAGTTGCACAATAATTTGTTACTCTATTTTATTTATTTTTTTTCATTTCACTCTCAAGTACACGTGACTCGTCATTTCCGTGGGGTTTCTCGCAGTTTATTTCCTAGGCTTCATGTTTTACAAATCCCTTTTCGCATCTAATAAAAAGGTGAATATTTGAAAATTCAATTTTTAAAATAACACACGTTGATTGATGTAAAACGCGACGTGGCACGTGATCAACGGAATAAATCACTCGTGACTAATTCTACAATACGAAACCGCCAGCTGACAATTTCTCAATTGCCAGTACCTGGATAAATGCCAATTTATTTAGCAGACCAGTGCTTGTTTATTCGATTAAAATAATAAATGATTATTAAAAATCAATAATTAAAGCGATAATAATTCTCCGTGATAATTGAGATTAAAATTTCATCTCCATTCTTTCACCTTTCATATTCTCCTAAATTTTTTCCATTTAATCTGTCGCATGCGATTTTAATTCTTCCATCGATTTATATTTTATTTATTTATTTATTTATTTTTACAATCGTAATCGATGAAGAGAGAGTGCGATCACGTCGTCGATTATGGAGGAAAAGTCGTACGATTGAGATTGACAGATTGAAGTCACCAAAATGTGAATATTCTGGGGATAAGAGGACACTGAGAAATTGGAGCATGACTGATGATAGTCAAGCCAAGTGGCCGGAGCTACTCAAGGTCGGCTCTGGTGAGGGTGAGTGCCAGGGGATGGTATTTCATCAGTTCACCTCAATCTCCGGAGTTGATCCTAGAGCTCTATTCTATCTCTCATTTCTAGACGCTAATTGTTCGATAAATCCCCAGAATTATCATGCTTATTTACTATTTAATTTGACAATTGCTCATTAACTTGCGTCGTTATTAATTTTAGGACCGACTTTCACTCGAAATCATTGATATTTTAGCATATATATTTCTTACAGGAGATAAACAAATACATGTATCAAGACGAATAACAGGATTTGGATTTTTATTCAAAGATAAATTGAATGAAATTTTTATTGGGTTGATATAATATGAAGAAAGTGAATTTTATCGATTGCAATTTGTCAATTCGTAAGGAAAATAATGAAGATACATAAAATACAAATTTATTTTTGTGGTAGAAAAGCGAAAACTATTTGGCAATAGAAATCCGTTGCATCTTTAAATATACCAGGAGAACTTGAAGAGTAAATCAGGTCAGACTGTCATTTCAGTGTGAAATTTCTCCGGCTACATGACAAAACCATTAGTTATGAATTTAAAAGAATGATATCTTGGAAGAAGCTAGATTGTTGATAGTTCCACCTAAAAATAGCAGTTGCTCAATTTTCTTTTTTATTTTTATCCAACACAATAACATTATTCGATGGAGTAAGGATGAAATATGGTTTGCAGGTTTCAAATTCCAGGAGAATCTTCTGAAGACGATGATCCAAATCGAGAATACATTCTTCCAGCTGGGTGAATCATGCAGCAGAAATTGCCTGATAATTTGCGACCGCGGTGCAATGGACGCATCAGCTTTTATCTCCAAGGACAAATGGGATTTGATGACATCCTCAAACGGCTGGAATAACGTGGAACTCCGTGATAATCGATACAATCAGATTATTCATATGGTATCAGCTGCGAATGGAGCTGAGGATTTCTACTCGACTGAAGATCACGCGTGCAGATCAGAAGGTGTTGAACTAGCTCGTGAGCTCGATTACAAAGCAGCTGCTGCTTGGGTTGGACATCCTTACTTCGATGTTATCGATAATTCCCAGGACTTTGAGTCCAAAATCTGTCGCATGATTGAATGTATTTGTCAGAAATTGGGGATTGATACCGGTGATCGATTGAGAGCTAGCTCTCGGAAAGTCAAATTCCTGGTTAAAGGACCTCTACCAGCTGACAGTGATTTTCCACCATTTCAGGACTTTGATGTTGTACACAACTATCTGCAGAGCAAAACACCCAAGTTACAGGCGAGATTACGTAAACGTGGACAGAAAGGTGGGAAATATTAAATAAACATGGGCTTAATCGTTTAATCGTGATATGTTTATTATATTTGATTTTTTATTGGTGGGCTCAGGTCACTGGTCGTACATTCACACCCTGAGGAGACCGAAAATGTGCGGACAAGTCGTCGAGGTGAAGACTCAGCTGACGCATCGGGACTACTTGAATATGCTTGCACAACGTGACGATTCACACTTTACAATATTCAAGCGACGTAGATGTTTTCTCATCAATAATCAGTATTTTCAGCTGGATATCTACCGGGAACCTGGACACCCGAGGTACCGATCTGGTTGCATCCTAAGGATGTCCTTTTTTATTGAAAATATAAAAAAAATTCAATGCATTTTTTTTATGTGCTCCAGGTGTAGGGGATTGATGCTTTTGGAGACGTATACAGCCCTCGCTGGTGAGGAACTAAAAAACATTCTGCCGAGTTTTTTATCAATCGAGAAAGATGTCACTGGCAATCCGGATTACAGTATGTTCAATCTAAGCTTGAGAGAGGAGTGGAATACCACTGGCAGCAAGTACTCCTATTTACACAGTAAGTCCATTTTTAATTATCGTAATGGTGATCGCTCGAAACTTTATTCAATTATCTCTCAGAATATTACAAAGAAATATTACCAGTCAAGATATTATACTGTAATTTATAATGTGACTTGTTGCGATTGTGATTAAAAAAGACTTGTTATATTTTTTGTTGTTATTTTTTGAGGCAATATTTTGGGATGTGTTATTTTGATAGGTAACCATCATAATGATTATCATCATGATTAATAATCATAATGCCTTCATCCCGTGTTTTCGTTTCCATACCCCGAGTTGTTTAGATGAGAAAAAAAAAAGAGAATTAATTTTTCCAGGCGCAACCAACGGTGCACTGAGGGTAAATTTTACAAACAACCACTGTGACACCAAGGATGACAACAAATTACACCAGATTAATGGGGTTAATGAGTTGAATGAAGATAATGGAGTGAATGGTGATAAAAATGCTTATGATAGGCAGAATGGTATTGAGATAGGGTTCAATGGGGTTAAACAAAATGGTGTGTGTAGTCAGAAGAAAATTGATGAGAATATCAATAGTGATTGTAACAATGCGCTCAATAATCGATTGAAGATTTGAGGGGGTGTTTAAGAGATCGGGGGTTTATATTTATTTGTCGGGAAGTGGTAAAACGATATTTGGCCAAATTTTTTTTCAATATTTTACATTGTTTTTATTATTATTATTATTATTATTATTATTATTTCTTAAAGAGAATTATTGAGGATAATGGAATTAATTTTATACTGAAATGTTAATTTTCCGATTTATTTACACTTTACGCCCGTTTTTTTGATAAATTTTACGTTTTACCACTTGACAACAATTTTACCCATTATTTTCGTCATAAAAATCTTTCATTATGTAAATTAAAAGTTGAATGTGGATTAAGCTTCGCGGTTATTTAAATTTGAGTGGTGGTTAGATGTAGAATCGCTTAGACTTTCCTTTTGACCATTGAGACAACTCATTTGAGAAACGATTTAATTTCAATTAATCATTGTTTAACGAAATGAAAAAATCGTTGGTAAAATTGTACTTAATATTAAAGTATTTTCTTCAATCCTTGAATAACAGGTAATTAAGTAATTTCAAAGTCTACCGGAAGTATTTGACACGGAGGAGTTCCGTTTTACTAAGAATTACTGAGAAAAATCTAAATGTGATAAACCTACAAGAAAAAAACAAAGAAATAAAAATAATGATAATGAATTTAAGCTTAATAAGAGAAATAAGTGGTTTCACTGGGATATTCAATATCATGCCATTGACATCCTTGGGATGACATTGAGTCAGAATCACTTGTAAAAATAAATAAACACACAACTAATTTAACTGATTCTCCGAATTACTGAAAGAAAATGAAAAAGTACATGAAAATTATTGGGTATTTGATTAACTGGAGTTTCATCTCAATCTCTCTTATAGATCGTGTATTCGTGAAATGAGCAATAACTCAAAATTAACATTTAACAAATTCATTTACACTGTCTGTATGGCAATCATTAATTTCACATTATTAAAATTGATGGAAAATTATTAAAGAGAGTAAATAATTGGATTGGATTTTTAGCTCGCTATGACTGATCCTGAGATGGCAGAATGGTTGAGACCCTCGACAATACTTTCAAATACGTGAAAAATATTTAATTTGGTACTTGAAGGTAAAATAATTATTGATTAAGCATTCAAGGGTTAAGGGCAGTTACAATAAATAATAATATTTCACATACTATTGCACATGAAATACGGATAATTGTGCGAATAATTTTACGGTGTGATTGCAAGAAAAAAACATTAATTATCAAAACAAAAAATCATTTTTACCAATTTTCACGAATGCACGATTGAATTATTAAATTCCCCTCAACACCTATTATTTATTATCATTGATGATTGCCAAAGTCAAAATTTTTTGGTGTTAAAAAAAACTTGTAAAAAAAATGATGAGAAAATTGTAAAAAAATTATCAGTAGCATTGGTAGTACTTAATTAATGGACATGTACCTAAAGAATTTTCAACAATGATAGAAAATCTCGAATCTCCCTTAATTGATTATTTAAATATCTAATTTATTTGTTAACATCATTGAACTCCTGCAAGAAAAATGGTTGTTAAAAAATTTCAAATTAATTCCAACTTTTAATTGTCCGATGATTTTAATTAACTTACCGTAATTTACCGAATTAAGTTAAAGAACTTGTCACGAAGAAAAAAAAAAAACTGAATCATTAAAAGTTTGAAATACTCTGGAAAATCGAGATAAAGTGCCTGCAAGAATATTCGAATGCATAAACACTATAAAAAATAATAAATAAACGATTTCATATATATTTTCAATGATGAATGCTATAATGAATGATGTCACTGCAATCATTTAATGATGGAGATAAATAAATGATGGCGAACTTGTCTCTATTCGACGTTGTACCTAAGATTTTAAGAATAAAATATCCTTCGTCTGCCATTCGTCTATTAATTTCTCCCACTAAATTTTTATTAAAAGGACAAATTGATAAAAATATGGATGTGAACAAAAAAACCATGAGATAAAAATATTTTAACTAGTTATATATATTTTATTGATTGCTCATTTGTTTCACAATTAAATCGTTCAAAGTTTTTCGCACAATAAATGGAACGGTCCGAACAATAAGTTCGCGCATTAATTTTTATTATCAACTAATTTTTTTTACCAGTAATACTTGTGGAAAACTTCATTTCCTGTTTGATTTTCTCAGTTTATTAATTATTTTGAATTGTTCACGGAGAGGATAAAACAGATGATCTACTCTAAGAAAATTTTTTCTCAGTTCTATTACGGAAGATATCGACGTGATATTCATGAGAATAAAAGAAGGAAATAAATAGGATAATTCCTATATCTGCTGGATCATTTATTTCACATAACTGGGCGTTTGATTACGATTAATATTAAGTTATTGATGAATCAATAATAACATTGTAAAATTCTACAAGAGTATGGAAGTATTAAATGATCTCGTAGAGATGAAAAAATTGTACAGAAACGTTCATTTTTTCTTGGATCAGGAATGAGGTCGTAAAATATTCAAATAAAATCGGTAATTACTTCGATAACAAATCGATCTAGAAGACAATGTGAAAAAAATGTATACATATAAATAAATAAACGGTAGAAATTTGGAAGAAATTTTGTGTTCCACAAGAGGTTCGATGAAATTACCAAACGAATAATTATACAATTACTCCACCACTCCATACCAGAATCCATAATTCTCTTAGTATTTACTCCCATTGAATTCATTAGGAAGATTAGTAATAAGAATTCAGAAAAAACATCATTATATCTCAAAATCTACTCTACGATATTTGGTAAAAGTGCAAATATTCGTTTACAATAGTTACGTCGCTCCACCTATTAAACCTTAGAATTATTTATGTTTATCAGTGATTTGGAGTTATTTGGAAGCAATGGCCCACAGGGCATAAGTCGATTTCCCAATCTTGCCAGTATTTTCATTTTTTTGGGCTTTTTTTAGGTAACAAACGTCAACTCACACGTGAGTTACAGTCATATTTGTTCAGAATACTTTTAACCAAAATGACGAATTTTTTATTTTCTCAGAACTGATTAATTGAATCGACTCCAAAAAATACATCGTTTTTGCATTTTATCATTATTACACGATCTGACCTTTTGGGAGTCATTAAATACTGATAAAATCCGAAAAAGCTATATTTTTTCATTGGCTAAAAGGGAATAAAAATCTCAACGGTAAATCCTCCTTGAAGCCCAATTAATTACTAAATACGTTGAAAATCTGGATCTATCTACCGACAGCCTTGGCCTGTTGTGCTTTGTACATCTTCAAGACTTTCTTACCAGGTACGAGGTTCTGCGCCAGTCCAGGTCGCTTCTTTCTCTTGGTCAAATTGTTCTCCTGGTCGATCTCGTCATCATCCTCATGGCCACCCTGATTGTGGAAATTCGTCTGGCAGATTATGGTCTCCTCGGGTGCTCTACTCGACTCTAATTCACCAGCACTTCTGTGCAAATCCGAGTCATGGGCAAACGTACAATTGTGTCCAAATCGACATCTCCCTTTCCTGTAGTTCCAGCATATTTTTCTTCCGTTGATCATCTTGGTGTCATCTAGTGTCGGTGTCATCTTGACATGCTTCTCTAAAATCGCACTCTTTGCTTTTTCAGCCTCGACGAATGGATTTATGAAGACTGATGTCTTCAGGGCAGGGGTACCATTGAAATCTGGAGTAGGTAGTGGAAGTTTCGTGCTGGAGTTGTTGGGCCTCTCGGAATCATTCACAATGTCTTCGTCGTCATCTCCTTCGTCTCTAGACCTTCAAGGAAATCCAGACATCATCATCATCAAGTTGACAAGACTCCACCTCCAAAATTCCTTACTAAACTCAAGGAGTAAGTTAATTACTTACACATTATCACTGCAATCATCCTCGCTTTCAGATCCTGAAGAGGTCCCGTAATCAGCAACCAAGGAAGCCATATTACACCGTTCTACCCTTACAGATTCTCTTCACCCTAACCCTAATCCATGGGATCACCCAAAACACAACGAATTAACCTCATCGATAGTAAAACTTGAAAAACAACAATTGTGATTTTATAGTGCAGCTATGTTGCCAGTTTTCTTCATTTTTCCATTCTGACACTAGTTCGACGAGAGAAAATTGACAGCAAGTGCCACCTGTTGTTGAGGTAAGAGTGGTTTTTCAATTTTAATACAAATGATTCAAAATAAATGTGAAAATAAAAATGGTACATTGTATGACAAAAAACCTCTTTATCGCACGCACCAAAGACAAGTCCCATTTTTTCCACACGAAGTGGGTAAAAGTCAAAATCGTGGGTAAAGTGAATTTCTAGTGCGTAAAGTGAATTTCGAGTGCGTAATTAGAAATTTTACCCTCGACCTTCCACATCGTGCAGAAAACCCCAATTTTACGCGCATCGTGTGGAAATCCTCACTTTTCGCACAGCGTGCGGAAACCCCCGATTTTCCGCACACTAAAATTATGTGAGAATTGAGTTTAAGAGACAGGTATTGCAGAAATCAACTATTCCAGACAAAAACCGTTTTTTCCGCACTAGGATTCAGTGCCGACGATGAAGGGAATTTGAGCTGTCATCTGGCGGTGGACATTGGACCTGAGACCCTCGTACCTCCTGTCTAAAGGAATTGTACCAGTGGTATTCGGTGTATCCGAAACGAGGGTAGTAGTTTCCAACCTCGAAAAAAAATGTACTCCAAGACCCGTGAAAAGTGGCGTTGATTCGCGTCGTCAGGACCGTGCCTGTGCCTCCTCCATAAGTTTTTCACCGTGTCGTGACTTTCCACGGTATCGTAACAAAGCCCTTGTCTCATCGGATGTGTCTAAATTCCCTTAAATATCCCCAATTAAATACCGAGCAATAGCCGAAAGAGTACCGGTAAGTGAAAAATTCAATGAGAAGGGAGATAAAAAAAGGTGGTAAAAAAGATGTTGAATTGTGCGGTGGAAGGAGTGTAGTGGAGGTATCAGTGAATGGAACGCTTCACCGAGAGGAGTTGGAGTTGAGTCGGCTGGTGAGTCCCAATCCCATTGTGCCCCCTCGTAGCCCCTCGTACCCCCTGGGGCACCACCACTCCCCCCCGGGTCAGACGCTCCATCCAATCTTCCCTCCAACACTTTATTTCCATTTTCAATCCCAATCGTCATTACATTACCTCATTACATCTTCTCAATCCTCAACTATTTTTATTATTCTCGTATTTTTTTTTCTTTCACAACTCAATGGCCGAATTCAAGTGGTCACGTGACGTGCGTGTGTTGAAAAATTATACATATGTGTATGATGTACGTACATGGGGATGAGGCTTGTGTTATGTGTTGGGGAAAAAAGTTGAAAAAAAAAAAATGTTAAGGAAAAATGGGAAGAAAATTGTTATGACCTTCAGGGGGTGGTGGGTGGGGATGTCCTGTGTACTCTAGTGTACTCTAGTGTACTCCAAAGAGAGTACACAGGAGAGTATAATTTTTTTGATTTTGTTTAATTAAAATTTGGTATTTCTAGTTGAAAAAATTTTTTTTTTGTGAAAGGGAGAATTTTGGGTCCGAGGGCATGGATAAAAAAATGATGAGGAGTTGAGCGTCCTTTCGTGCACTCTCCATCTCCATCGCCGCCATCGCGTAATGGGTAATGGATAATGGGCGAAGGGGGCGGGGGCAATAGAGGGGGGGCGTGTGTACTACGGCGGTGGTAAAGAGACAGGGACAATGACAACGTGCGGGGAACGTGGGGAACCTTTTTATGGGTCTTATAGTTTTTTTCATTTCTCTTTTTTTCAACAGGTTTAGTGTTTCTTCTTCCTTTTGGCACTCGAATTTTCGAATTCATTTCTAATGGTTATGGTTTTTTCATAGACCATCACTGCGTAAATGTTGAGTTTGGGTAATGGAGAGAAAAGTGGAAGAAAATGGGTTTCATCATTTTTTTTTGTCGGTCTAAATAGTAGAAAATTAAAATGAATAATTTTTTCATGTGTAATTATTAATTTAATTAATTTTCAACATAACACCAATAACTCCTGCATCGGTATATCGAAAGGATTGAACGATATAAATGATTTTTTTATTGATCATTCGGAATATTGCGGACTTATAATAAAAAATAATCGTACAATACTAAGAACTCGTGAGTTAAAAAAGTACAAAAGTTTATCAATCAAAAAAAGGAGACAGACGAAAAGAGAAGAGTGTTCCTAAAGGAAAACAATAAAGTGTAGGCATTATTGCAATTAAATAAATGAGTAACAATATCTATCGAAAATTGAATTTTCCACTCGTTTTCATTTAATTGAATTTGTTATTCAGGTGTGAAAAGGGCTGGTTGAGGTGGACGCATGTTGATAAAATGTCGGGATCACAGCGAATGAGAAAATCATCGCCATGCTCAACGACAAAGCAGGGACCAATGCGTGCAACCCTGCCAGTTAGTTCGTTATTACGACAGAGCAGACAGGGAAGTAGTTTGCGTAAAAGTAACAGCAACAGTCCAACTGTATCGCCAACTAATGCCAACGCATGGAGAGCGGCACGCATATCACCGGATACATCAGCCTCATCAGGACAGAGGAGTCCTGGATCACTCTCGTACAAAGGTATAAAAAAAAATCTGTAAAAAAAATTCGAGGGAATCATTAAACCATGAAATTTTTGTCACAGCAAAATCAAAGACATTGACTGGTCGGTGTAGCGATGGCCTGAGTGGTAACCAGAATATACGTAGAACTGCCTCTCTCGATACTATTTACTTGAAGGGCCAGTGGCCCCGTGACTCGTATTACGTACATACCAGCCTTCTCTCGGTGGACAAATCCACCCAGACTGAGGAATGGTCCAGTGAGCCCAGAAAAATCCACAGCAGACATCAGACTGAACAGGCCAATATCTCGCAGGATGACAAATTACCCATGGACAAGTACATAAGACAAAGGTACTTGCTGAAATTATTGGAATTATTGGAATAAAATGGAAATATCGAATGGAGTCAATGAAGATAATTATTAAAAAATGGATGATACTGTCGGATCAATAGTTAATAGAGATTTTTTGTTATTATCAAGATTACAACGGACGAATAAGGAGAGCACGAGTTGTAGAGAGCGAACGACTGCCTTTGGATTCATAATGCCTGGTGGACCTCCCCCTGCACTTCCTGGCGATCACACTGTGCTCCTTCCCAGTATTGCATCACAAACACCGATACGTGAGTTTCAATAACCTCAATAATTCGCAATAATTATTATTTTTTATAGGAAATAAATGTTTTTAATGGGAATAATTAGTGGGAAATTGAATTTAAGGAAATTACTGTTAATGAAGTAATTGGGAATTGGTTGGGGTGTGACTGCTAAGTAATGGAGTATTTCTAAATTATTTGAAGATGATTGAAGGTTATTAAAATTAATATTAAATGGTATTTAATATTATACACCTGTGTTTTTTTTTTTTGCAACAGAAAATCAGTTTAGTTTGAGTACAAAAGCAAGCCCCATGAACATACCAGTGAAACCCATGAGACCACCGATGCGCTCCTCCATTGAGGGCCTTAATCAGGAGATTGAGGGACTCGTCCTCAAGTCAAACTCTAATAGTAATGATCCAGAGCATGCAGTTGAGGACAAGGTAAAATTAAACTAATGTGAAATGTGTGTGTGAAGAATTGAAAAAGTAATAGGGTAATTTGAGCTTCAAAAAAAATCACTCGAATGATTTCAAAAAAATAATTATAAAAATGAGAAAAATTGTTCAAGGGTGGCAGATAGAAATATTGATTCCAAGGCATCTGCCAAATTTACGGAACAATATCTTTATTCATTTTTATAATTATTTAATTATTATTTTATGATCATTCGAGCGGCTGTTGCAGCGGAATTTCAAACCCAAAATTTATAAATATTTTTAAATAAGATAAAAGCCTTCCTCAACTTTAATTAATAATTTTAGTACGCGAGATATCGTGAACAAATGACTCCAGAGGGTCATAGGGCTCCTCTGGCGGATCTCCTGAGGGCAACGCGCAGCGTAAATACACAGACACCAGCCACAGACCTTCCCTCGAGTTCGTATTCTTCAGGTAAATTATTTTTAAATCCCTAAAATCTCGCGTGAAAAATTTATAAATTCTCGTACCCTTTCCCGAATTTTATCCTCACTCACCAATAATGACTGTTCTCTATCTAAATATTTATTAATATATCTATTCATATTAACGAATAAATGATGGGATTAAGGGCCACCATCTAGGAATTCAGAGTCTCCACTGATACCAGGCCTCTTGGATACTTCTCGTCCACCCAGCGATCTACCACAAGGTCGGCTGTTTAAGGATTCATCGTTAAAATTAATTGTTTTTTTTTACTATTGCATTGAATTTGCAACTCTCACTTTTTATACTCTTCATTTTCTCTCTTATTTTTAGCATGAGACAATTATAACGCAAACCAGGAACGAGAGATATTGATTTTTATGTGTTTTATCTATTTATTGATTATTATTATAATTTTGCTGTGATTATGACAATTTTTTTAATGTCTTGAAGTTTGTGAATGATTTGAAAATAGAGAATTAGTCATTCGGAATGATTTCTTTTGTTATTGATTCGATTAATTATTTTTTTATAACTTCCAGGTGGAAGTCGTGGATCAACGCCGGATCAGGAGAGGGAAGGACGATTAGGTACATCACCTCACATCAACAGGTTCTTGGCGAGAGAACCTCCCGATGGCTGCGAAAAAGTTAATCTCAAATTCGTCGAGGATTCGTCCAGGTAAAGATTTGAAAAGCTTGAAAAAAAAATTATTGTTAAAAATGGGCAGAAAATTAGAAGTGATTGCTTCGACGAGCAACAATTGGAAGTGGAAATACTGATGGCCAATATTTATTTCACTTTCACTGCCTTTCCTTTCGTAAAATTTACAAATTGTTTGTGTGATCTTTAATTAATGACTGAATGAATTTTTCCACGCGAATAGGCGGCCAATGATTGATGTCAGTAAATTGGATTTTCACCCGAAACCGTGTGTGGGATTCCAGTTGAAACCGAGTCTTGGTTCGGCATTTTTACCCCTGCAACAGCAACCAGCAAGTCCAACAGTTATATCCGGAACCCAATCACCATCGTCACAAGTTAATCCCTCAACACCTCCCCCTAATCCATAGTCCTTCCTTCTCCCACCATACATTAAAACAGCCACCCAAAACCCCCCCACCCACCCCCCACAAGTGTCAACATTCGTATTTTTTATTACCTTTTTTTACGACAAATATTTTACTAATTAAATTACGAGAAGAATTCTCACAAAATTCCCCCGCAATTCTCTCCTAGAAAGGATAAAAAATATTAATTTTTTCAAATTGTAAAATTAAAATTCATTGTAAAAATCGATTAATTGTCTTTCCGAAGGCATGAATTCAAACTGTTTCGCAGGGTTTTAAATATTATTCGATGATTACTTATCATCCAGAGAATTGCAGGATAATTTTGGGGATAAAGTTGTATTTTTACGTTTAGATTTAACGAAAAATGGAAACTGACCATGTACAACCAATCAATTAATTGAAAAACAAAAAAAAAAAGTTAGTAAATGTTAAGAGAATCAACGGGCTCTCGGCCTTGAGGTCTGAAAAAAGTGAATTTTTTCAGAGAATTAAAAAAAACTATAAAATAAACTTTTTTTTCTAAATAAATAAAAAATTGTTTCATTCTCCAATCCTTTGTTCTGTCAAATTCACCGCGCATGCGCAACTCCACTGATTTAACCACCAGTTTATGTTGACATTCTCAACTGTCAACTACTGTCAAATTAATGAATAAAAACAATTGTTCTATTGTCACATTGTGAATAATTAAAAACCTGAAAAGACAGCATAAAAATAAAAAAGGAAATTGATAAGATGGAGCAGTGATTGTACAATTTGAAGAGTTGTCTAAAGACGATGAGATCCTAACCTATAAATAAACATTAACGTTTGTGTTATTGAAATAAATAAAAATGTTGGAGACACGAGGGTGGTCATCCTCTCGAGATGAAGAGATTCACAAGGCAGCGGGTAACGTCCAACTGCGTAAATACGGTGAATTTTTCGCCGGTCTCTGCGGAAGCTGGTGGAAGCCCTCGTCAACCCTCGAGACCATCGTCGACGGTCCAATCCGCCTGGTCTACCGCATCACCGAAACCGAGAGCCTTCTCTCTCTCTCCGAGATGGAAAATAAACATCTATCCAAGATCCTGGCGACAGTCGCCGGCATCTGCAGGGAGATCCGTTTCCTGAAATCTGAATTTTCCCGTTTCTACTCAAAAATTATTTACAATTCTGATAAAAATCACCAGGATAATTACAGCGGTCTCTTCGGGGATCTCCAGGATATCGGTGTTTTTTGCAATAGAATCTCTTCAGTGATCCACTTGTCGATCGAGCAATTGTCAAGTTTAACGAAGACGACGGAGGAGGTCTACCTACCCGCGATGATTGAACACCTCATGGACCTCTTCATTATACTGTTGAGCCTCGACGAAGTTGTTAAAACTCATCCCTCTCTCCAGGACAATTGGCGCAAGTACAGAATTCAGGTGAGAACAGTAATGCACAATCCTAAAAAATTTGGCCTCTGCGAGAGCCAATTGGTAATGCTGGATAAATTGCTGAAGGATTTGCACGGCCAATTGTTGACTGGTCATTTATTTCACCGCGCTGTAGAAGGAGTGATGAATATCAGCAAGACACCAGTGATGAACGACCACCTGTTGAGCTACCTCAGGAACCAGCTGACAGAGATCGAGGCGAAGGTGCTCTCGCCGCATCAGATCACCAGGAATCTGGTGCGACTCAATGTGGGTGTCATTTTGTCGGTTAGGCTCTTCGGGGTGTGCGATAAAAAGGTGCAAAAACGATTGATCGAAGTTAATAAGAAGGTGTACGGTGTTACTCTGGTCGGGAATGTCTTGTGGATACCCTCGCAGTATCTCTCGGAAAATCTCCCCAAAGAATTTGGCAACTCCGCTGTCAATTGTCAAGTGGGTGAGAGATTGCTGGCGGGAATTATCCAAAAACTCGGGCAGAACTACACGAGTATTGTTGATCGATCAATGACGTGGTGCATGGATGCACGAAATATACTGTCCAAATCTGAATTCCACATTCAGGATATCAGGAAGGAGTACAGCCTGCTGAAGCAGGTGGTGGCAATTCTCCAGCAGATTAACGAGCTTGTCTTGACAGTGACGAATCTCCACGCAGAATTGTCAAAGCCAATGAGCCGGGGAACAGTCCAGATAATCTGCCGATTAATCGAAACCCAGAAGACGCTGGAATGGACTGTTGATTATCTCGGACCGAATATCGTCCAGGCACAGGCGCGTTCTCTCCAGTGTCTCTCTTATGAGATCCTGTCGATCCTCGAGTCAGCGCGAAAGGGTCTCATCCAGAAGGATCAAGGCTACAGTCGAGAGCGACTCGATGCACTATCACTGATGAATATTGCCATGAGATTAATTGACAGTGCACCGTCTTCTGAGCGCAGATTGATCGCCCGGTGTGCCTTGACCATTTGTCGCCAGCTGTCACCCGCTGACACCTTCAAGGACGATGAAGCGATAAACCTCAAACAAAAACTCGATGACTTGGATACAATCGCCGAATTCCACTGGATCATCTCCGAGGCATGTGACTACTCCGTGCTACTCCATCACCAGAGCATGATACCCGCGTACCTGGCGGGCGTTTCAGAGGCCGATCAAGATGTCTCTCACATCGTCCATCTGTTCAAAGCGTTCAATTCGATTGTTACGAGAACCGGTGGCTCCGACGTAACCGACACCAAGATAAACAACTTCAAGGAGTCCCTCATAAAAAAACTCCTCGAACCCACGTGCAGAGAAATCGAGACAAGTCTTCGCCTCCACGTTCACGCACACCTCAAGCTCGACTCATGCAATCCCCTCAAAGTCGGTGTCAAAGACGGCGGAAGAATTGTTCGCTCGTCCCCATTACCCCTGTCAAATAATCTCGTCAGTTCAAAACGATTCATCGAACACTATCTCGACGACATGTTCTACAACCTGACGACTGTTGCCCTTCACGACTGGAAGACGTACAGAACAATGCACGCCCTTGCCAAGTACAAATTGGGCCTGGAGACCGTGGAGAATCATCTACCAACGCAAACACTTGAGCAGGGACTCGATGCACTGGAGATAATGCGGAATATCCACGTTTTTGTCTCCAAGTATCATTACAATTTAAATACCCAGACATTTATTGAGCACACAAGTGCCAATAAACACTTGAATACCATCGGCATTCGTCACATCGCCAATTCAATTCGCACACATGGAACTGGCATAATGAGTACAACAGTAAATTTGGTTTATCAATTTCTCCGTGTAAAGCTCCACACATTTTCACAATTCCTTTTCGACGAGCACATAAAGTCTCGTCTCCTACGAGACATAAGATTCATGAGATCCCAGAGGGAGCGCAACGAATTGGTGCCCTACACCTACGAGCGCGCTGAAAAATTCCAAAAGGGAATACGAAAACTCGGAATGTCCGGTGAGGGATCATTGAGCTATCTAGATCATTTTCGTCAACTGATAACACATATTGGCAATGCTCTCGGCTACGTAAGACTCATTCGATCTGGTGGTCTTCACGCCTCGGCCAATGCAGTCTCATTTCTTCCCGAAATCAATTCCTCTGCTCACTTCCAAAGCGCCTGCCACAGCCTCGATTATTCATCAACAACAAACGCAGCGGCAAAACGATTGGACGACGACATTGGCAATCTCGTTCGGAATTTCACCGAGGGAATTCAATATTTCAAATTGCTCGTCGATGTATTTGCCTCGGCCTTTCGCGATCCCAAGAGTTTTCACCTACAGCAATTTTATGCTATTGTTCCACCGTTGACTTTGAGCTTCGTTGATAACGCTGTATCGAATAAAGAGAAGATATTTAAGAAGAATAAAGATGGGGCTGCCTTTACTGATGATGGATTTGCTATGGGGATTGCATATATCAATGCACTTCTCGATCAGGACGCCGAATTCGATGGCCTCCAGTGGTTTGAAACCGTGAATTCTCATTTTAATCGGGAGAAAATTGCCGCCGAGGTGAGGGCCGACGGAGGAGATGAAAAACTTCAACAGACCAAGGCGTTAACTCTCAAGAGGATTGCCCAACGCACTGCCGAATTTCAGTTGCTCTATTATTCGCTTTCGGGGGCTAGAGTATTTTTTAAACAGCCTGAGGAATCGTTTTGAGTTGAAAAAATAAAGCTTCGAGACTTTAAGTGATTTTCAATGAGACTTTGTTAATGAAATTGATTTGAAATCATTTCATTGACCCTGAATGAATGACTTCAAACGCAATGGAGGCACTGAATTCGCAATAAATGAAATTTAAGAATCGAGTTCATCTATTAATTATGAATCATTCGGAGGGAGAGAAATAATTCAATTTTTTAAACAATATGGGCTTCAATGTCTTCTTTAGTTTTTAATAATAAATACATGACGATAACAATATAAATATAATAACTAATACATGACTGATAACAGAAACTGAGAATTACGAAAACCGTAAAAATGACTAGCAGGTGTTTTCTTATTTTTCTACTAAAAACATTACACATAACATCGCGTTGCTTTGGTATTGAATGAAAATTCCATTCTGTAAGTACCATAGGATAACTGCTAATTTGGAGTTAGCATTAGTCGGGGCACCAGTTCTTAGTCTAGGAAAATATTAGTCTAGTGAGATTCATCGAAAATAACTAGCTCCATCAATCAACTAAGAATTCTTATTTTCAGCAAAGCATTGCCTATTTTGCCGGGTCATTGGTTTTTTTTTTTGGCATATTTCTATCAAGTTTGTGGCTTGGAGGACTCGTCGGGGTCGAGAAGATCGTCACAAGAGGCGGTTGGAGGCAACAACTGCCTTCCACCTCGTTTCTTACTGCGAGTGAAGACTCTCGTCAGCTGAGCGAACTTACGCCGTGAAACTGTAAAGACAAAATATTATGCAAAATATTGTAATAACAAGCAAATTCTCTCTCTTCGAATTTCTCCTCTGAAGACAGCATAACTCTTCTTACTTTCGTTTTTCGTCTTTGAACTTGACATATCGTTCATTGGATTCCCTTTCTTGTTATTATGTCTGGAATAAATTCTGTTAAAACTATTCCGGCGGGTAAGAATTATTATTTATACCTTTTCCCATGTTTCTTAGTCTTTCCTTGAACAGATCTTCCTCGTCGTGGCTGCCCTGGACATCAGCTGATGTGCAACGACCACCACGAGGTACTTTCGTGTCTAGAAAAATATTTTTTACTGAATTTTTTTTACTGATGAATGGAAGCATTGACTGTTTTATTCTCTCATTTATTATTTACGAAGAGAATTAATCGGGATGAAATAAAATTGTGGAGGAATGGATTATATTACAAGTATATATTAACATAATATTACCACTCTCCAAAGTGCTCAAGAAGTCCTCATTCCATCGCAGCTCAGCCATGAACTCTTCATTTTGAAGGAACATAGCTATCCTCTGGTCCTCGAGGATGGAATGATCCTGGACACCTCCAGAATCTCCATCGGATGTCTCCAGCTGCTGTGGGATCCTGAGGAAGGTGTCGGGTAGAGGACCCAGCAATGGTGGCTGCCACTTGCAAATACTCTCTTGGACTCGGGCGTCGGCTTTCACTATCTCCGGGGATTTTGGAGGATTACCTATCAAAATAACACAACTCAAAATATTACCTCAAAAAATCACAACAAAAATATTGTAAGTGAAAAAATTATTGCTTCAAAATATTACAGCTTGAAATATTTCAACAAAAGACGTATTATTCCGAAACATTACAAGAACAAGGAAAAAACATATTATTACATTATAACATATTATTATATCATAATCCCATCATTTGTAATATTTTTAAAAATAATATAATGATATCGTAATATCTCTCGTAACGTAATATCGACTCGTCACATTTTTTTGGAGTAATATTTTCGCGAGGTAATATATTCTCATTAAAATATTTTTACTTGTAATAATTTATTGGAATATTTTAAGGGAATATTATTATTGAATAAAATTCATAGTGATCACCTTTTGGAGTGTCCTCGGACTGTTCTAGCTCACTCCTGATTTTTTCGTTCTCGTTGTCGGTGCTCATTGCGAGTAGCTGATCAATCGTTGTGTCGACGGCTCCTTGATTCGATCGAAGAACAGCCTGCAAGGATACCAAAAAAAAAACCATCCTTTAAATAAATAAAATTACAAAAAAAAATTAACGTCTCCGATGAAAATGGAGAGGTGTAAATTGATTTCGAGAAAATGTCATGGAGGAAAAAATCAATCTACTCAAAACTCTGTGATACAGAAAAATAATTTTACCTCGATAACATCATCGTCCATCTGTGGAAACATATTTTTGAAATCAGCCATCGCCTGGTAGAACTCCAGGGTGGTCTGTTGCTGCTGTTCAGCAGCTGATGCCATGATCGATCCGTCCACCAGGTACACCCTGAAATTATCAGCTGACACCTAGCACCTCACAGTGTCACCCCTAGTTCCCATTCTCCAAACCCACTAAACCATTTACACACCGAAACTAATTGAATAACGGACGTGATAACTACTCCAAAATAAAATGATAATTAAACCTCGAAGAGGTTATTGTTGCTGTCTGGATTGACAGGACAGCCCTTCTACTGCGCATGCCCATTTTCCCACTGGCAAATTGTTTTTTTTATTTGAAAAGATTTCGTAATGACATGATAATTAGTGCAAAAGAGACAAAAAGCCGGATAATGTGTAAAATTTATCGTGTGACATGTAAAATATTAAATGTAAAATTTCAAAGACGGGGGGGGTGGCTCTGCGCGTTTGTTGTCTGCGCACACAAAAATGGGAGTGGTGAAACGCCTCTTGTCTTTGAATTTGTTGTGTTCACAAATTTGTCCTTGGACAGGCGACTCTGATAGGAAGATTAAATCGTTAGAGGGGCGGATGGGGTCAAATAACACCGACCTCAAATAATGCGAAAAAATGGATATCGATGCGGTAATTATTTCATTTTGGAACTTATAACTGCAACAATATTCAACTAATAAATTAATATATTAATTAATAAATCTCTTGATACCATCCAATTAATTTTGTGATAATCAAAAAATAATTTAAATGATACACCTCGTTTTTTTTTCAATCATAGAAATTGGGAAGTGAAAATTTGGAGAAAAAAAAATTAATTTCACATGATCGAGTTATCGATAGGTATTATTTATGTAAAATACAGGAAAAAAAATTAAAAGGGATATAAGAAGATATATTTCATTTGATTTTTTGACATTGGCCTCTTACACTTGATATTGCATGATAAAAATTCATTCGTACAGAACAAAGAATAAATGAAACTTATTGATAAATCAATTCATACGTATACACATATTCACAAATTGTTTATAGAGGCACCATGGTTGTGTTAGTCCTATGGATTTAGTATATCGAAGCAAAATCCCCTCACATTTCGCGGTTTTTCACTTCTTCACGATCCAATTGAATGATTATTATCATCTTGCTACACCCCAAACGACTCAACAAATAATACATACACAAAATCCTATCAATATCTCCCTATCTTTAATATTATTTACAACAAGTAATATAATTGTTAGTTAACATTGAAGTCTCATTATCGACTAAATAAAAAGTATTGGAAGAATACTTTAAAGTTGTTTGAGACTTGTTCAATAAATATTGTGTTGAGCTGCTCTTTGTCGGTTGTCAGTCAAGAGTTACTCTAAGATAAATTCATTATGATATTTGTTTTATCCATCAGCATATAAAACAAATGACATTAGATGATTGAGAGTTATTTCTCTCTATTCGGATTGTTTGAATTTATGTTACAAGAAAAAATTGGTCTATGGGTATCAAGTGATTACAAGTGAGTTAAAAAACACTTTATCAGGGAAATGAATTTTCAAGTGGCAGTGGTGGAGTTATAGGCGGCAGATGATCTCCACATGTTGGGAAGTTTGGTGGTATTGGGGGTAGATCGGCATGTGTACCGACATGTAGAATTAAATTCATGCCAATCACTATGTGGAATAGAAAATGACAATGGAATAGCCAGTATCCTGAAAAAAAAATTGTAAAAATAAATCAATTGCATGATTGATGAGGTAATTGCTTCATCGATTTATCGTGTTAGTGGGTAATTAGGCTGATTAAATTAGGCTGATTAAATAATTATATAAGATAATTAGGCTGATTAAATTACCGGGATTATCCGCTCGGAATCTGAAGACCACGTAGCCGTTGTTGGGCACTGCTATTGTGTCTTTTGATGGTGGTAAATTAAATTCTCGGTGTAATAACCCTCGTCTGTCCAAATCCAATGCGTGTTTCAAGTTGATTTTTTTGACATTCTTGTCCGGCGATCGACCCATGCCGATAACATTGAAGGAGTATCCGTGAAGATGGAATGGATGGGACAAGTTGGGCTGTTGAACTGTGATGATACGACAGGTTGTAGTAAAAATAGCAGTTAAATATATTCAGATGAAAAATTTTGTAACAAGTGCGTGTTCATTTGTATTAAAAAACAGGTACTCGAAAATTTATAACAAAATGATGTCTAGTACTGAGAGAAAAAAATATCAATTAATGGATCTAATACTTATCGGAAAAAGGACTTTTCCGCACTTGTTACGAAATGTACTAATTTCTTATCAGTGTAATAAATGGTAAAAATGATGGAATACCTTCGTCAACGAGAACCACTTCGACAATAGCATTATGAGGAATATCAACTTTATGGGTGCACATACAATTAGCCCCACAATCCGCTGGTCTATTATCACCATTACAAAATTGCTCGGGTGGTATGTCATCAACTTGCGAGAGCGGTGGAGCCGGTGGGAACGTGAACGAAATCTCATCAACGAGGGATATAACATGATCACCCGTTGGCGCAACTGTACATATCATTGTAGTGGATAAAATAATCAACAAATAATACCAAATGATTTATTACTAAAAAATTACTCTACATACCCAAGAACCGGTTGTACGTATTTGGCTGAAAAACTTCTTCAGGCCGATAAAAGAGAAACCTAAATGGCAGAAATATCTTAACGTCTGGTCGGGCTTGAAGAATTCCCTCATCAATATGTCTAGCATTCTTCAATTGATTTATACAGACAGCGTCTTCTCGTGGCATGTTACAAATGGCATCCAGTGGATTAAGTACCTGAAGCGACAGCAATATATACCCATGTCAACAACCCATAATCAACGAATGATATTAACAATATAAATAAATGAATAAATACGTACAACACCTTGGGGTAAACCAAGATCATATGTTGGTGGTTGTGAGGCGGGTTGATAAGGGCCTCGGGCATATCTAAGAATGGCAAGTTGTTGGGCTCTCTTGATACCGCATTCACCAAGACCTCGAAGCTGAATCCAGTATGCACCCGCCGGTTGATCAGCATTTATTACAAAATCATAGCGTTCACCGGAGAATGAGATAATGGTATCAACAGCTACTGGTTGTACGGGCTCACCATCTGTAGCGATGAGATTCAGTGTGTGGCCTTGAAATGTTATTTGCGCTGGACAAACTGAGCCGAAGGAATTTATCAAGCGGAAACGGTAGCGACGCCCTGGAGTTATTGTAAATACCTCCAACGGGGTGTTGGTCATGAATCCAGTATTGGGATCCTGCAATCAATATTATCCAATATTTAGATTATTGTTGTTCATTCCTTGTATACGTTATTCTGATTTTTATATTGGATCTGCCGTAATGTGGGGTAACTTCCTGGTCAATCGTGCCGCATTTGCCCCAGGAGATGTTTGCCACTTACAGACTCTCCTGGTGACCAAGGAAAATCATGGAACCTTGGCCGGCACGGTCACCATCAACCAAGCTTCAACGGGAAATAATATTTATCGATGATTACTAGTGTCTGGACTCCAGTTCGACGGCTTCCCAAACATTAAAATTCCAATGCCCTAAGTCGGACTCAAACCCGCGCCTCGCGAGTCTCGTCGTCCGGGCGACGAGCGATTTAACCAATTCGTTCACTTTCGTCAGTGCCATTTAAATTTTTTCATACAAAAAATTGAATCAATTTTTTTTTTCCATACGCATAAATATATGATTTTTTAAATAATTATAACGCATATAATAAAAAAATGTATATCATATAAATATCCACTTTTATAATAATTTGAAATTTTTTAAATTGACTTTTTTTTAATGAATTAATTTTTCATTTAATTTTTTAAATTAAAAAAATAATTAAATTAATTAAAATTGATTTTTAAAAATTAATTAATTAATTTCTTGATTTCAAGACTGAGGACAGGTGCAGAGGTGCTCAGCACTTGAAGTATGAGTATCCACTGAATAAATATTATTCTCTAGCCGATGGAATTTAATTTGTTTATAAAATTTCAGTACGTACGCGGAATTGACCCTTTCCATTAATGAGAACAGTTTCTGGATCTTGTCCGGTGTTGACAGCGAGTCGCCCTGGATACCTCTCAGCAGCATCTTCATGCATCCAATCACTGATCAGAACAACGTGAGTGGTAAGATCGTAATCATAAAGATTACTATTAGGATCTTTATTCGGTGGCTGTCGTATGACAATGCTACCGTACAATCCGTCCATTTTTTGGAGTCCGGTGTGAGCATGCCAAAAGTGTGTGCCTGCATTCGAAGCTGTCCACTGATACCTGAAATCACACGATAGATTAATTAATACCATTGAATACTAGAATATAGCCTCAGGCTTCTATGAACTAATTTTTATAAGTCTATGGTTTAAAAAATAAATCAACATAGAGATAGATGTTAGGACTAAACATAAACATAAGAGATCACGTGGCAAAGGGACTGGGAATTTTTCTTTTGAATTTCTCATTGAATATTTTTAGTCTGCTGAGGCAGGTCATAGAGACCAGATATTTCTTGGTCATTCCATTTTTTAATAAATTAAAATTAACGTAATTAATCCACTGTGTTTAAATTATTTATCTGTCTCACCATATTCCATTATTGAATTATTTAAACATTTATATATTCCATTATTGAATTATTTAAA